GTCATGACTTTCACACATTTTCATGCCAAAGACAAAAGTTCATGTATATTCATGCCAAAGCCTGTAGTTGATGATTTTCATATATTTTCATGCCAAAGACTATAGTTCATGATTTTAACACATTTTCATGCCAAAGACTATAAATCATGTATATTCATGCCAAAGCCTGTAATTGATGATTTTCATATATTTTCATGCCAAAGACTATAAATCATGAATTTTACACATTTTCATGCCAAAGACTATATTTCATGATTTTCACACATATTCATGCCAAAGTCTATAATCCATGATTTTCACACATTTTCATGTCAAAGGCTATACTTCATGATTTTCACACATATTCATTCCAATGACTATAATTCATGATTTTCACAAACTTTCATGCCAAAGACTATAAACCATGATTTTTACACATTTTCATGCCAAAGACTATATTTCATGATTTTCACACATTTTCATGCAAAAGACAATAGTTCACGTATATTCATGCCAAAGACTGTAGTTGATGATTTTCATATATTTTCATGCCAAAGACTATAAATCATGAATTTTACACATTTTCATGCCAAAGACTATATTTCATGATTTTCACACATTTTCATGCCAAAGACAAAAGTTCATGTATATTCATGCCAAAGCCTGTAGTTGATGATTTTCATATATTTTCATGCCAAAGACTATAGTTCATGATTTTAACACATTTTCATGCCAAAGACTATAAATCATGTATATTCATGCCAAAGCCTGTAGTTGATGATTTTCATATATTTTCATGCCAAAGACTATAAATCATGAATTTTACACATTTTCATGCCAAAGATTTTAGTTCATGCATTTTCAAACATTTTCATGTTAATGACTATAGTTCATGCATGTTTACGCATTTTCATACCAAAGGCTGTAGTTGATGATTTTCATACATTTTAATGCCAAAGACTATGGCTCATGATTTTAAATCATGATTTTCACACATTTTCATTCAAAAGACGATAGTTTATGATTTTCACACATTTTCATGGCAAAGACTATAAATCATTATTTTTACACATTTTCATGCCAAAGACTATGGCTCATGATTTTCACACATATTCATGCCAAAGACTGTAGTTGATGATTTTCACACATTTTCATGCAAAAGACGAGAGTTCATGATTTTAACACATTTTCATGGCAAAGACTATAAATCATGATTTTTACATATTTTCATGCCAAAGACTGTAGTTAATGATTTTCACAGATTTTCATTCCAAAGACGATAGTTCATGATTTTCAAACATTTTCATGTTAAACGATAGTTCATGATTTTCAAACATTTTCATGTTCATGAATTTTTACGCATTTTCATACCAAAGGCTGTAGTTGATGATTTTCATACATTTTAATGCCAAAGACTATAAATCATGATTTTTACCCAATATTCATGCCAAAGACTCTTGTTCATGACTTTCACACATTTTCATGTCAAAGGCTATCGTTCATGACTTTCACATATTTTTATGCCAAAGACAATAGTTCACATATATTCATGCCAAAGGCTGTAGTTGATGATTTTCATACACTTTCATGCCAAAGACTCTTGGTCATGACTTTCACACATTTTCATGCCAAAGACAATAGTTCATGTATATTCATGCCAAAGCCTGTAGTTGATGATTTTCATATATTTTCATGCCAAAGACTATAGTTCATGATTTTAACACATTTTCATGCCAAAGACTATAAATCATATATATTCATGCCAAAGCCTGTAGTTGATGATTTTCATATATTTTCATGCCAAAGACTATAAATCATGAATTTTACACATTTTCATGCCAAAGACTATATTTCATGATTTTCACACATTTTCATGCCAAAGACTTTAGTTCATGCATTTTCAAACATTTTCATGTTAATGACTATAGTTCATGCATTTTTACGCATTTTCATACCAAAGGCTGTAGTTGATGATTTTCATACATTTTAATGCCAAAGACTATAAATCATGATTTTTACCCAATATTCATGCCAAAGACTCTTGTTCATGACTTTCACACATTTTCATGTCAAAGGCTATCGTTCATGACTTTCACATATTTTTATGCCAAAGACAATAGTTCACATATATTCATGCCAAAGGCTGTAGTTGATGATTTTCATACACTTTCATGCCAAAGACTCTTGGTCATGACTTTCACACATTTTCATGCCAAAGACAATAGTTCATGTATATTCATGCCAAAGCCTGTAGTTGATGATTTTCATATATTTTCATGCCAAAGACTCTTGGTCATGATTTTCACACATTTTCATGCAGAAGACTATAAATCATATATATTCATGCCAAAGCCTGTAGTTGATGATTTTCATATATTTTCATGCCAAAGACTATAAATCATGAATTTTACACATTTTCATGCCAAAGACTATATTTCATGATTTTCACACATTTTCATGCCAAAGACTTTAGTTCATGCATTTTCAAACATTTTCATGTTAATGACTATAGTTCATGCATTTTTACGCATTTTCATACCAAAGGCTGTAGTTGATGATTTTCACAGATTTTCATGCAAAGACGATAGTTCATGATTTTTAAACATTTTCCTGCCAAAGACTCTTTGTCATTACTTTCACACATTTTCATGCCAAAGTCTATAGTTAATGATTTTTACACATTTTCATGCCAAAGACTGTAGTTAATGATTTTCACAGATTTTCATGCAAAGACGATAGTTCACGATTTTTAAACATTTTCCTGCCAAAGACTCTTGGTCATGATTTTCACACATTTTCATGCCAAAGACTATGGTTAATGATTTTTACACATTTTTATGCCAAAGACTGTAGTTGATGATTTTCATATATTTTCATGCCAAAGACTATAGTTCATGATTTTAACACATTTTCATGCCAAAGACTATAAATCATGATTTTTACACATTTTCATGCCAAAGACTATAGTTCATGCATTTTGAAACATTTTAATGTTAAAGACTATAGTTCATGCATTTTTACGCATTTTCATGCCAAAGGCTGTATTTGATGATTTTCATACATTTTCATGCCAAAGACAATAAATCATAATTTTTACACAATATTCATGCCAAAGACTATAGTTCATGATTTTCACACATTTTCATGCCAAAGACTTTAGTTCATGCATTTTCACACATTTTCAAGCCAAAGACTTTAGTTCATGCATTTTCACACATTTTCAAGCGAAAGACTTTAGTTCATGCATTTTCACTCGTTTTCATGCCTAAGACTTTAGTTCAAGCATTTTCAAACATTTATATGCCAAAGACTATAGTTCACGCATTTTCACACAGTTTCGTGCCAAAGACTATACTTCACGCATTTTCATGGTATTGACTCTAGTTCATGCATTTTCACGCATTTCATGCTTAAGTGTATAGTTCATGCATTTTCAAACATTTTTATGCCAAAGGCTTTTGTTCGTGGATTTTCACACATTTTGATGCTCGTGCATTTTCACACACTTAAGTTTATAGTTTATGGATTTTCAAACATTTTCATGCCAAAGACTATAAATCATGATTTTCACACATTTTCATGCAAAAGACGATAGTTTATGATTTTCACACATTTTCATGGCAAAGACTATAAATCATGATTTTTACACATTTTCATGCCAAAGACTGTAGTTAATGATTTTCACAGATTTTCATTCCAAAGACGATAGTTCATGATTTTGAAACATTTTCCTGCAAAGACTCTTGGTCATGACTTTCACACATTTTCATGCCAAAGACTATAGTTAATGATTTTTACACATTTTCATGCCAAAGACTGTAGTTGATGATTTTCATATATTTTCATGCCAAAGACTATAGTTCATGATTTTAACACATTTTCATGGCAAAGACTCAAAATCATGATTTTACACATTTTCATGCCAAAGACTATAGTTCATGCATTTTGAAACATTTTAATGTTAAAGACTATAGTTCATGCATTTTTACGCATTTTCATGCCAAAGGCTGTAGTTGATGATTTTCATACATTTGCATGCCAAAGACAATAAATCATGATTTTTACACAATATTCATGCCAAAGACGTACCAGGGCATTATAAATAGAGATAAGTGTTTGTTTGTCTGTGTATTGCTTTAATTTTCTAAGGGCGGAGATACCGGCTGCCACTTTTTTGCAAATTTTATCAGTGTTACTCCTCCAAGATAAGTGTTGGTCAATTTTTAAGCCCAAACTTTCGTACTCATAAATTCTATTTATAACGTAATTGCCAATTGCAATATGCAAATTTGAAGTAAAAACATTCTTGATCATTTGTTTCGAGCCTATGATCAAATATTTTGTCTTGGTTGAATTCAAACTAAGTTTGTTTGCTATCAACCACTTTTCAAGATTATTCAAGTCAGAGTTTACTGTCTTTTCTAGTTCAACTATCTCATTATTTGAAGCAGTTATGCTAGTATCATCAGCAAACATATCTTCAGAAGACTCGGTGTTATTAATGGATTGTTTTGTAGTGGAACTTCGTCCACACTGGAGCTTTTATCGCTAGAGCTTTTATCGCTAGAGCTTTTATTGAATGCAGTGCCAAAAATATTGCCCATGTTCAAATCCTTGCTTCAGTTGCTTGTTTAGCACAAATTGACTAATTGTAAACAATAAAGATCAAAACTAACATAAAAGAAATGCTTCGAACAATACTGAAACAAACATTTGCTTCTATCTTGTTAAATTTGTATTGAAAAAAAGCTTATAGCTTTGAGCATGCATTAATTGAGCAAGTGCCTTTAACCTCATCTTACAACAATGAACAATCCACTTGGTATAATTACAGCTAATCGATTATCACATGGAAATGATATCATATAATTTTCTTTTTGAATTATGCTATTTTTTCTGGCACACCAAGATATTTCTTTAAATGAATGCAAAATTGCCAGTATATCATTCTGTTCTAAGACATCAGCCAACATCCTGGCAAAGTTAACTCAAAATTTAATGACTAGTCATGATGTATCTAGCAGTTGACAGACATACTGTAGGCCTAGGCTAACACGTCTCATGCCTTCACGTGTATTTTTCTAAGATTTGACGACTTAAATTTACTTCACATTAATGAGTGCGTATTCCATAAAACGCTAAAGCATATCTTTATAGTTTGGGTAACTCTTTATGGTTTGTTGGTTGTCTTTTGTAATTGTATCGACTTTTGAACGCTTGAAGCCAGTGTGCCAGATGAAACATTTATATTCGCTCACGTCAAAAGTTCACAAAAATGGGAAGAAATTCATATCGGAAGTTGACGGAAAACTTCGGAACAACTCGTACATTGCGTATGTGATTTCATGATGATTCTGATCAAAAAAATTATGAATAAATTATAATCTCCATGATTCTGATTGTGTTTCGTTCATGTGTTGATCTTTGCTTTATGTTCATTTTATATGACAACACGAACGTATTGCATTTCAGAGTTTATTTCATAAAATGACGCCCGTTAATACTAAAAGACAATCCATATTTGCGAATAGGTCTTATGGAGCTCTAGATATTACAGCTCGAGATGAGGAAAGGAATCAAACGACAGATAAAAACACTGAACAATTAATGAGAAAAAAATTAAAATGGCATTATATGAACGCTTATGAGAAATACAAAGCAGGTGGTCGTAAACCGTGGAAACTTTCTGTTCAAATTATCAAGATATTTCTTGTCACAGTGCAGGTGAAAAGTGTTGAATTGAAATTATTTGTAAACAAAAATATTCATATTTAAAGAAATCTTCTGAAATTTGACGTTTAGCGGAGAAACACTTTGATCGTGTTTGTTGCCATGAGTGTGCAGTACCACGTATCATCTATAGATTTTTGTTCGTTTGATATTATGATTATTGTCATGTTTACTGACTTGAATGACTTCATATCAAAATAAAGAACACTGGCTACAAAATATTTGAAAAAGCTTTTTGAGTACATAAGTCTCTGTAGACCTCCACTGTTCATGTAAATAAAGTCTCTTCGAAACAGCAGTACCACCAATTTATATTGCATTTCATCATTTTCATGTTCATTGTTATCATTTGAAGTACATATTATCAACTGTGTTTTTCTTTCAATTTAGATACTTTGGTTTGGTCAGTTGAGATTCTCTGTTGTAGAGTATGTGGATGAAGCTCGTGGTGTATTCAAGAGTCTTTTTTTTATGAACAATAGCACTTCACTTTACACAAAAGAAAGTCTTTATCATCAAATCAATTATACAATTTCCCAGGCAAGTATATTCTAAAAAATCATTGGTTTGAAGCATGCATATTCCTGTATGGACTAATGTCATGTTTATGCACCTATTCTTACAAAAAACAAAACAAACAAACAACATTTGTATACCAGCCAGTATTAATCCCCGCCAGGGGGGTTGACCGGTCCATGAATTTTTCCACGCCAAACGTCTCTATCTCTCGCCATATCTCTCGTTATACCCATCGCCTTCATATCACTGTTCACAGCATCCATCCATCTCTTTCTCGGTCTACCTTGTTTGCGGACTCCATCAACATTCATATGCAACGTTCTACGAACTATGAATTCTTACAAAGACATGATATATTTCTGTATGCTGGTACTTTCTCAATGTTGTTTTAGAAATATTGATGAAACAACATTTATTATTCTTATTTTATCAACTAAATAAGGCTCTTATGTACATTTTTTAGTATAAACACATCAATGATATAGCACTCGGTCCATATGCACCATCACCTAACAGTTCTGTTCGATTATGTGTTAACTCGTATAAAGACTCGACTATTGATCCTAGTAACTTTCGTTTCAAGTTCCCGTATTCTGATCCGTCATCAAGTATCCTTTTGAATTTGATCTATAGGAAAAGAAATCTTTGTCTTTTCAATCTTTGCTTTTGAAATGAGTTTGTTTATGAAAAGTAGTTTGTTTATGAAAAGTATTTGCACAATATTGAAATTTTTCATATCCATTACAGACAGAATACTATAATATTTTAAGAAAGTAAACTAATCTATGAAGCTGATATTCCTTAGCAGTTTTCAGCCTGTAAAAACATTACAACTTTTACAAATAAGAGCATTAATGAGTTCGTAGCAATGAATAATATACCTTCCAATTTTAGCAAGTAAGTTAACTTTTCATTCAATTAGTTCAAATGGCTGATACTATTTTTTTAAATATAATCTGATGAGTAATTATATTTGTTGAATGGAAATATAAGTAAGTGTAAGAATTATGTTATTGTAAGTATTTTGAGAAAGGTTAGCTTAGCATTTGATAAATTGTTAATTGGTTTTTTGATTTGTAAAATATCTTTAGTAGTTCATGTGATTTAGTTTTTCACATGGTAGTTGATAGTAGTCTATATTATGCCACAATATGATTGAATTTTATATTGTTAGTGTTGATGAAATGTGGTTAATTCTATATTTGCAAACAATTAAAATTGATCAGTTGAAGTTAGGAAACATTCCTAAATGTGTGAAATTCAAAATCAAGGTATTTATTACAAACATATTTGAACACTTTTAAAATTGAAGTTCTACGAACACCATACAAACATATCTCATTGTTTTACAGCTCATTTTCCACAATGAACATAACACTGGAAATTTCAAGTTGGAAATGAAAACAAACCAGGAATATATAAAATGCGGTACCGCTAAAAAAAGTAAGTTCTCCATTAGTTTTTAAGTTTTCTTTCATTGTAGATCTACAATGAAAAACTTGTAGCAAATTAGCCATTAATGCGTCTTTGTTAACCAATCTTGATAATTTTTAGATGATGTGTTGATTTCTAGTGAAATGATTTACGATAGTGTTGTCATAATGGTTTGTGTTTGGTCCTTTGTTCTTACATCACGTTCTCTATATAGAAATTTTAAATTGGCTAAGGTAAGCTGACTCTCATAGAAATGAAAGACCATAACATTTTTTATACATGTTTGCAATTAATCAGTTGCACAAGTTATTTGCTGTAACAACTAATCAGTTGCACAAGTTATTTGCTGTAACAACTAATCAGTTACACAAGTTATTTGCTGTAACAACTAATCAGTTGCACAAGTTATTTGCTGTAACAACTAATCAGTTGCACAAGTTATTTGCTGTAACAACTAATCAGTTGCACAAGTTATTTGCTGTAACAACTAATCAGTTACACAAGGTATTTGCTGTAACAACTAATCAGTTACACAAGGTATTTGCTGTAACAACTAATCAGTTGCACAAGGTATTTGCTGTAACAACTAATCAGTTGCACAAGTTATTTGCTGTAACAACTAATCAGTTGCACAAGTTATTTGCTGTAACAACTAATCAGTTACACAAGTTATTTGCTGTAACAACTAATCAGTTACACAAGGTGTTTGTGGTAACGATTGTTACAATACACAAAGTGTGCATTGTAACAACTGATCAGTTACACAAGGTGTTTGTAGTAACGATTGTTACAATACACAAAGTGTGCATTGTAACAACTGATCAGTTACACAAGGTGTTTGCGATTGTTACAATACACAAAGTGTGCATTGTAACAACTGATCAGTTACACAAGGTGTTTGTGGTAACGATTGTTACAATACACAAAGTGTGCATTGTAACAACTGATCAGTTACACAAGGTGTTTGTAGTAACAATTGTTACAATACACAAAGTGTGCATTGTAACAACTGATCAGTTACACAAGGTGTTTGTGGTAACGATTGTTACAATACACAAAGTGTGCATTGTAACAACTGATCAGTTACACAAGGTGTTTGTGGTAACGATTGTTACAATACACAAAGTGTGCATTGTAACAACTGATCAGTTACACAAGGTGTTTGTGGTAACGATTGTTACAATACACAAAGTGTGCATTGTAACAACTGATCAGTTACACAAGGTGTTTTCTGTACTGCATTCATTGTTTTCGTAATCTTTCTAGATAACGTTCAGGTTTTTCAGAATAAAGAAAACATCAAGTTGTCACTTGTGTCCGATGGACTGGAACTTGTTAACGCTTGGTTTATCATTATAATACTCACAGATATTTTGACAATTGTTGGATCTATCTACAAAATCTATATTGACATGATGAATTTAGAGGTGTGTGGTTTTATCTCACGTTTAACCTTGCAAAACATGTTGTGAACTATTTATTAGTCTAACAATACTATGTTTGTCTACTTACGTAATCTAGTTTTTATCAATATTCCCTTTCTATTACAGACAATGTATTTTTTCGACGTATGTAGTATGTGTCTTGGCATCTCGGTTCTTTTTATTTGGATTGGTATTTTACGTTATTTGGGTTTCCTGAAACAGTACAATGTATGATGTAAAAATTAATATTTTAAAGTGAATTTTTCTTCCTGTACATCTGTAGCTACGTATATAACTGCGTGTATACTTATCAGGTTTTGTTGATAACACTTGAAACGGCAATGCCCAACGTTCTGAGATTTCTTTCTTGTGCTGGAATTATATACATGGGTTTCCTGTTTTGTGGTTGGATTGTCATTGGTCCTTACCATCCAAAGGTAAACTTAGACTCGTCAATGCTTTTCCATTTTATGAATCAGTATTTCTACACTGTTGTCATTTCAATCAATTTGATTATTTGACCGTTGTGTTCATAATCGTTGTTTAAGTTTTGAGTGTGTTAGCTAAATAGTAGGAACTACAAAAAGAAATCTAGAATTTATTCATTTATTTATTTATAAATTCATTCAACGCATATTTTACTGACGTACAACACATATGCAGCGCAGGCATTACTTCTGTTTCTGGGTGTATGAAATGCTTATAGTTACCGCACATGTTATAGTTAATATTAAATCCTTTAAAAGTAACGATAGTATTTTTGCTCAATGATAGAACTCTTTTTTTCCGTATTAATATAGAAGCTTGCTATGTTTTTATTATTATTTTTACAGTTTACCTCGCCATCTATTGTATCCGAGAGTTTGTTTTCTCTCCTAAATGGCGATGATATGTTTCGAACATTTCGTTTGATGTCGAAGGATAATTATGGAATATGGATATTCTGCAAGATATACCTTTATGTTTTCATATCCCTATTCATCTATATTGTACTCAGTTTGTTCATTGGTATCATTAGTGATGCATATGAGAGGTTGAAGGTATGGTTATGTTTGTCAAAATTATATACGTAGTCTCCGAATACAACTCAGTAAACATCTTGTATTATGTATAATTAACTGCAACTTTTTGCTTTAACTGTTGAAATTGTATAAAAATGTTGTACTTAGTACGATGTATCTGTTTAATATAAATAATTATACGATATCTTGAAAGAAAGCCAATAGGTGGTTAGTGGGTGGTTAGGTGGTTAGTGGGTGGTTAGGTGGTTAGTGGGTGGTTAGGTGGTTAGTGGGTGGTTAGTTGGTGGTTAGTGGGTTGTTGTTGGATAGTTAGGTGGTGACTGGTGGGTGATTAGATGGTTAATGAGTGGTTAAATAGATTAGTTTAATTGAAATTTGGCCTGTTATAGGCTGGAGAACACGTGTTACGTTCTAACATACAGCGATTTATCCATGGTCCTGGCTTGAAGCAATCAGAAATGCTTGAGTCATCTGATGTAATAACTGAACCCGAGACGCCGAATGTTCCTGCATAACATTTGTGTGGCATGTTATATTTATTTTAGGTGAAATGAAACTCATTGTGAAATTAAAAGGATACTTTGTGTCAGCTTGAAAATAAATATGATAAATATACAACTAATACTTACTCTATGTCAAAACATTACACACAGAACAGTTTTTATTTTCACTCATACGTACAAAATACGTAGTTTTTTCTAAAGAAATATTGATAGAGAATTATGCCAGCTGTTGTCAATGACCAGCACAAAACTACGCATAATTTGTTTTGCATTCAATGGCTTTGGAAAACATCTCATATCGCATAGAAAAGTATTGAATAATTTAGTGTGTCCATACTAGTGGAAATATGAATTACTATGTGATAAAAAATGCTTATTTGTAATACATTAAATATTTATATTATGGTGTTTTATGCAGACTTTTCTCTTGTATAAACACATCATTTGTACTCATTTACGTTCAAACTGCGTGCTAGACAAGTCATGTTACTTGATCTTTATTTACTGTAATAAAAAACACTTTAACAAAATTCATGTAAATGAACTTCAAATGATTATGTTTTAAATAAAATTTTCCAATTGAGATATTTGCATTCCGTCTAATTCCAACTTTTTAACTTTGTGTACTTAGAATTATATAATTATCAGAAGAATTTGAGTAATTTCATTGGTCGAGAGAAAAAAATCCGGTTTTCAAACATTAATTTGTTCACTCGCCCCGGCGGCTCGTGGCCACTTTTTTAGTTTTTATCACAATGACGTCATACCCGTGTATCTATAACTGTATAGACAAGCGTTGAATGTTATCTATTTGTTAATTTTTAAATGTTGTACGTCATAACGAAAATTAGCAACACATCAAAAATATTTACATTCAAGAAAGTAAGTTTTAATACAACATTGAAATTGTCAAAAAACTTTTATTGAAAAATTCCTATTCAAATTATCATTTTATTGAAAAGAGCTTGACAGTGGACTTTGTAAAACAGTTTTATCATATCTCTCTGCATTCTCAAGGTATTCGAGTTTTGTGATGTTCGATTTCTAGAGAAAGTGTCATTAAGTTGCATGAGACGCAGCAAATTTATACATAAAATTTTGAATCCTACGGAGTACGGAACCACAATTTTAACAAACCGAAACGCGTTAAAAATACGGCGCAAACGGAGTTCAAGGATATACATTTGTGAAACAGGGCATTAATTTGATTCAATACATACTAAACGTTAAAAATTTCTTCAGTGACATCAATTTCATGAATCACGAACAGGACCACGCGATAGTTTTTAAAACGGTCGTGTAATCAATAACTTGCTTCATATGTTCTTAAAGATTTTTCAACTTTCTTCGTAATCTTACCTCTAAATTGTATAAATATAAGTTTTACTAACTTTGTCTTGTCGTTTACTACATCTTCATCCTTCGATTATATTCACCGTCCATAGTAAAAATGGAGCTTCATCTCCGATGATGAAACTATCCAAAAAACGATCACGTCGACAGCGTTGCTTAAACCACTAAGTGAAGCGTTCTCGAGGTAAAATGTCATCTGCTGATAATTGAACATACAATATCAGTGGTATAACAGCCGTATGATCCTGTTAAAGCCTTGAGACGAAATCAAAAGATTGCACAGATCGAGTAGTTCACCTTCCAGAAAAGTTTTTGATGAGATTAAGGGGTCTTTCATGCATTCAAATAATTCAGCACGTTGTTCGAAATTGCGCTTCTCATTGCTGAATTCCTTTATTCCGAAGCCATCATCAGAGAATATATATAATACATTAATCCTTAGATTAATATATTATATATATTTGCTGGATTCCGATTAAGACACCTTTCTCGAAAAGCGTTTTATACACTGTCAGTTGGTCTATTTGAGTTGGACTCTGGTATTGTAAAAACTCTTTGCTCTGTAATCCGTCGAATCATTTTTGCACTGATCGTGTGATGAATTAGTAATTTGACCATCATTGCTTAGATTTCATTAGAATTAAGTTATGTTCAATTCCCAGGGGCAGAAAGGTTTGTGTGTGTGTATGCAACAAACAAAGATGTGTAAATGATGTAATTGAAAAAAATATTTTACGTATCCATGGGCTTAGTACAGTGACAGGTGATAGTTCATAAAGAAATGAAATTGTAACAAGTACATAATTTCTACGTTTTTGATGCACTCTTAATGTAAAGTGGCAATTTTTCGTCACACTCTGTAAGTAACATTAATTTTATTCAATTTTTCTTCTTCCAGGTGAAGGTCACACCATGGTGATTGTTAAAGCGAAAATAAAATATTTTTATCAGGGAGCGCTGTTTTACTTTAATAACGTCTCTGTCTGATCAGGCTGAATCGATATTTTTATTGAATAAACATTCAGATAGTTTCACAAACTCCCAATATTTCTTTTGCATTCGAACTCATGAAAACTGTAAGCACCAAATAGCCTTTAAACGAGAATCTTATGTCCATGTTGAAGCAAGCAAAGAAAGAATACGTTCAGATGAATTTACCAATCAAAACATTGGTAGCTTCGTACAAGAAAGGTAAAATCTGATAGAATCGATGATTATGATCAGATAGAGCCGATGTACTTATCCAAAAATGATGAATAAACTGAAATGATTTGCAAAACCATTTCATGAAATTAAACAAACAGCATTATCAGACTGACCGCAAGAAAGTTAACGATTGACTTTCGCCACTCAAATTTACAACGTGGAAATTTCAAAGAAATTTGGGTTAAAAAGTGATATTTAACGACTATGCATCACAAATTTGTGGTTATCACCAGTACAATACACCATAAAGCAATTTGATCGCTATACCAACACTATTTTAGCGATATTTTACCATTATGTGACATCATCATCCATCAATTTATGAAACCTGTTGAAGTAGTCTGTGCCTTGATTTGATGTATTTTCATCATAAGCAGCCCCAGGTGAGTCTCTTTTTTTATTTTTTTGAGGATCTTCCTCAAACTCACCTTCAATAGGTGTTGCAGGATCGCCAGTAAAATGTGATGTGCTTTCTATGAAACGAAATGTAACATAATTAAATGAAAATAAGGTGTGAGCAATTGGACAATTTATATGTCTTACTCAAGCTTTGACTTGCAGTATGAAAACATGATTAAATATTCCAATCATATTTACGATACTAAATGCTGCAAATTTATACCTTGACTTTTGGACTTATACAGCTTGTGTTGATCAATCAAATTTCTAATGAAATAAATTGATTGATTCTGCAATTGCAGTTCTTTCCAAAGTAAAGGTATTGTTTCGATGTGTTCACTTAAGTTCTGCAAAGAGGAATTTATAACTTGTTTATTCTAAAAAATCATATGAAAAACCGCCAGTGAATACAATCATATCATTAATGAAATAATTGAAAACCAATATTCTATTTAACATTTTCACTAAGTTCCACCTTCAACACGTTGTCTTCTGCTAGGATTTCCTTCATTTGCGAAATCAACGAACGGTTCAACGTTTTCATTATTTTCGATATAACTGACTTTTTCTGAAAGAGTCAAAAGTATTTTTATCAATGAGTTATTTGCTACATCATTATCCCTATGGCTCCAGTGAGGTCAAATTATATGAATTTATAATTGCTGTAAGTAAACTTGGTAAAAAAACCCATCAAGATCTCAAATTTTTAAATCAATCATGACTAAAATCCGTAAAACATACATCACAAGCTAAACTGTTACATGCAACATTGATGGTACACTATATGCATTAAAACAACATCATTTACGTAAAAACACAAAGTATGAAAGGAAAACATACCAAAATTGATTTGTTTAAATTATCTTCATCTAGGCTTCTTGACATGTAAAGTTGCTTTCCAACAAAATCATTTATGTTTCCAGAAAACATTGACTTTCCAGTGATATTGCTTAACTCCAACTGGAAAATGCAATTCAAGTTAATAACATGAAGTTTAAGAATGAGCATTGCAGCCCCAGAGTTAAAGGTAAGATTGGTAAAGCCTTGGGTTATATACACGATTGACAAATAAATCCCGGGTTAAATACTGGATTGACAAATAAATTCCAGGCTAAATACATGATTGACAAATAAATCCAGGGTTTAATACAGGATTGACAAATAAGTCCCGGGTTAAAAGTTGATAAAAAAACCAGGTTAAAGGCAGGATTGATAAAAAAGATAGCATACAGAACATAACAGTAGTATATATTATTGAAGATTTGAACTGTGCTTTATGCCACTTGGAACTTAATTATGATGCATTTTGCCCCCTTAACACATCAACTTGTAGGTTGAACACATGAAAACCCTTAGAATATAGTACTTCACATAATTCAATTCCTGTAAAAAATTAATACTGATTGCTATTTTGAAGAGTAATATTTCAGCTCAAAAAGATCCATTTTGTATTAGATGAAGGTTTTACATAAAGTTCTCATAAGATTTTATGAAATCCTTTTATGTTCTTGGCTCCTTTCATTAAAACAATGATCCTATCTATACCTCTAATCCTCCACTCTAAAAACTGATGACAATTTATTTAACTACACTTACTGAAATATTCCATTTCAAGAAACATTCTTTGATAGCCCTTGAATGCAATGATTTCTGAACTTTTAATTGCTTAATTTCATGATTAATCTTTGTAATTTCTGCACCAGTATCTGCCATTCCTTTTTGCAAAGCAATTACAGTGCGACTTACAGATTTCAAACTGTTTGGACTGTGCAACGAGCTAAATATCGTGTGAAGTGTCCCATTTATATGAGATATCTAGATAATAAAATGATATTATTGATCTTCAATATTATAAGGCTACATTTCAATAATATGTTTCATTTCGTCCTCCACAAACAATAAAAAATGCAAAACCTTTAAATGAGTGTTTTCAAGCTCCATCATCAAGTCCAAAATTTTATTTTTCTCTGTTTGCAAAATTTTTATGTTATCTGTCATTCTCTTTTCAAGTGACAAGCATTTCTTTAGGTTTTCTGCTTGCTCTATCCCAACTTCAACAGGAAATGGAAAATGTTAGTACTTTGTGATTATATTGTCCAATTTCACAACTCTAATGAACATGCTTTAATGTGATATTCTATAAGTGAATGGTTGGAACCCAGCAACAGTATTGTGGTGATATTGTAGGTATATTCAGGAGAAAGCATGTATTTGCTTTAAAATCTTTAAAATAAATTCAAAGTATACAGCAGATACTAAAAATATATTGTGTGTTGTCTTGCACAAAAGCTATCTTAAAATGGTGACATCTAGTGGTAACTCGTGTAGTACGCCGTTATGGTGGTACTGATATCTTTAATAATAAAGAATTAGTACTCATAATTATTATAAAAACACCTTTCATTGCTCATGATCTACTCGAAACACACGACCTACGTATCAGCAAAACTCTTTTAATACATCACAAGAGAACATACCGCGATTCACTTCAATAGTTAAACGACGAGATAAATTTTCAACATCTCTGTATAATCTCAGGGAAAACCAAAACAACAACGAAATTCCCAAGACACAAGCACATAACACTAAAACCAGAAAAACGCCACTGCAATAACGACGACAATTTTGAAAAGATTTTCGCCAATTAGAATGTTTTCTGAAAATAATGAGACGAGTAAAATATACAAGTACAATGACTAACATTAAATCAAAGAACATATACTATGTCAAATATTCATACAATTTACCTTTTCCTCGCGAATTTCTTCGTCCTTTTCACAATACTTTTTGGGGGCAGCGCAAATTCTGGAACGTCAGAATCCGTATCTGCTTCGACTTTATTTAGTAAAGTTCCTCTAGACTTTGTTTTCGTGTCTTGAGGCATGATTTTCAACAGATCAATCTTCAACACAGCACTTAAACGCCATTGTTTCGTTCAATATAAAATATTAATGATTTATAGCTTTATTAACATACTTAATATACGCACTTCATGGATTTATGAACAATTAATGGCCACAAATAGGTTGGAAGAATGAAAATAGCAAAAATATAAAACTCCTCGACATTGAGGCAGAGATGATTATACAGGCATAACTGTTTCTTACCCAGCGATCTCACGCTGCGAATTGCAATGAAACTGAGTATAATGTCTTCTCGCGTGACTCGTGTCACCACGTCAACAAAAAAGACCAGTCAAGCATTCTTATCTTACACTATTATATGTAAAGTGGCGAAAGTGCCTCTGTTAGGTAGTCAATAGAGGCGGCAGTTTGAATCACCTAATATTTTCTAAATGTCGTCTGCTAATAAATACTTTACAGCGCTATTGAAGATTGAAAAATAGCTTCTCGAGAATCTCAACTACAGCATAAAATTTGAAAAATTCATTAACCATCAATGGTTTTTGGTTACCAGCATTTTTGTATTGAAAATCAATTTTTTTTTTGTTTTTTCAAAAATTCAGATTGAATTCATGCTGACGTAATCCAATTAATGATATATTTTGCTCTTTTGCTGCGATTATGGAATGCCTTGTTGTCCATTCACTTGGGTCTAGGGCTCTTAAACAGTTGGACTCAGACTGGTTGGGTATCACTCAGGAATGCAACAATTTATCTACTCTCAATTAAAAAACTTTGATAGCCGGAGTTTTCTTCATGAATTTTTATTTATATACGAAAGACCAACGACACGTCAGCTGACCTTCAGCTGTTGAGCCGTCCACTTGAGTTATGAAGGAATGGAGATACCATTACTCACACTTTGGAAGTTGTAACAAGATGAAGTACTACTATCACTAACAGGCGTCACCAACCGGTAACCAGTCACACTTTGTGTTTGGAAAAGTTTTCATTTAAACCAGCCTCGATAGCTTTGAATACCTTGCTTTTCGTTCTGGCATATATGATGTGTCATTTAGACGGAGTATATTCTCAGATGCCAAAGAAAAAAGAGTATATGTTGGCTGCATATAATAATGATGTGATTGCCAATTATAGGAAATTCTTACAAAAACTGAGCTCATATTTACAAACAAAAAAATTAGCCGTATCATCATCGTGATCTTTACACCCTTGAAATAGCTATACATATCGTATGTTTCATGTTGCAAACATTTTTATACTCATTTACTAACGATCATATTATCTAATTACATCTATAACTCCAGCCAAAATTATTTCTAAAATCTAAGTTGCCAATTGATATTTGAACTCTTGAAACAGTTTTCACTGCTCTGATTATGTCCATTATTGTTTTATCTTCGGCTAATAACGTGTGATGTTTGATTATTCAATTGATGCCTTCATTAAAGAAATTTTCATCCTGTTTCTCTTACAGCAATTTGATATTTTTTTTGACTTAGGTGCGTGTCGTCATTACTTGCAGCGATATAAAGCCTGCTAGCCGTTTTGTAGCTCTGTGTTATAAGCCTCCATTCACTGCTAATGCATAAGAATTGCTAAGAATAATTATATAGACGGGATCAATATATTTCATTTTGGCTGTAGCCCTTTCTTCAAAGAGCGACACACACAGATAATTAATATGAATAGTTTTGAATAGTTTGTTTTTAACACGTTTGTTAAATCTGCAGTTAGTTTGATAACTCATTTCAAAGACAATATTTTTTACGAATTAGAAGTTCTTGACATTTTTTCTGAATTGCATTCCAATACCACAGTATTTTCTGTCCAACCAAAATTGTTGCAGAATTTCTCGTGAACTATCATTTTTGAATGCTAATATACTGGTGCTGGAACTAATCTATGACCCGCGTAGAATCATCTGCATACTTCAAAAGTCATCTTCTACTGTAGGACAGTAAATGAATATGTTAAAATAATCATAAAAATTAAAACCAATGTAAATAATTTACCAGAGTTGTACCTCTGTTAAACGATTCCATTCTGATTTGAATTTAATCGTTATTAAATGTGAAAGTAGAAAACCAGCATACACGAGTAGCGTATATAAAGTGAGTATTCCATTCTCGTTTAAAATATATTTAATGAATTCAGAAATACACATTCCTGCTTGGCAGGTTAAAAAATAGAATGAGTTTTTATTCTTTGACACTTTCTAAATAATAGTTTATAATACTTTAGTTTTTTTTTGTCATATCTCTAATCCTTGACCTCTATTTTACAACGATATTAAATACACTTAAATTAGCTGATAAAAGAGCAAAAGAAAGCAGGAAGCTTCATGTATATTTTTATACGAAGATTACTACATCAAAAAAGCTATTATCACGACCATAAATATGGGTTAACAAAAATATATTCTCCAATTTACAGAGACTATTTCAATATTTTGACAATTTAATAGAAGAATTTTTATTTTGAATCGAAGATAAACGATTATTCAAAAACGAGTGACGTGTGAACTGCTAAATAACAATTTATCGCGTAGGGGTGATAAAACAAGGAGCATTTATAGAGATTTTTTAACTGAAAATAATTCAACACGGGTTCATTGATTTTGTTGCTCAATTATCATAGCGTTTTTCCCTTTTATTTTTCTGCTTTAGTTTTAATGATAAATTAAAGTACGTTAAATAAATGGAGTTCGTGCTTTCTATAATATCTTTTATTCATAAAATAAGCTCTTTCTCTCTCTCTCTATAGCTTTTTATCTGTTCCGAAATTCTTTCTTATTCGCAGTTGACTTGCTTGAGTTAAACGATAACATCACTAAGCAACTGTCGCAAAGTTGCCAACATTATTTCCAGGAAACACAAGCGTGTACCATCGTGTCCCATGGAGATCCGCTAAAACGCCAATTCGCATGAATAACTACGTCGCCGTTCTAGCCGAGTCAGCGGTAACATCCACGGGATCATTAGGAATCATACCAAAAAATCTTTCTGTAATTAACGTGAAATGTTCACTTAATATCTAAAGTCGTTATTATGTTATTTAATAAACTACTATAAGAGTTATATAAACTTGAAAATGCAAATGAAAAACATTCTACAACAATCACAAAACAATTGATTGCTTGGTTTTTCTTACATTTACGTCTTTCAATGATAATATCCAAAAAGTTGTTCTAGATTTTCTTCTTAATTAAGTTTATAAACAACAGTTAAACATTGTAAAATAGAAATTAGCCATACTTAAACTTACCGGCTTGACTAGCTAGAAACTGATAGTCTGAAGTTGTAGCATCGGTAGTGACCGACATTGTACTGACAGGTACACTTGTCATACCATGTGGCCAAGGTTGTTGCAATTGCGCTGTTCTAGGAATGTTGCAGTGCGATGAAAGTATATCATTGTTATCACTCAGTGAATTGATGATACCATGATTCACACCATTGGTGGAGAGATTATTTGTGGTTGTGACGTTTATATATTGACCATGTGCATCCTGTAATGAATAATAACTTTATTATTTCATGTTTAGAGATTATTTCTATAAAATGTTGAAAAAACAGAAGGAAATTAATTGAATGGCTACTTAGTAATTGACCGATAAAATTCCTTATTTACCGTAGAAGTGAAGGTCTGTTATTTTCGGCTACGTAACTTATTGAATAGTCAATATCTTCTACCTACCTGAGTTCTATCATTAAAACCATTGCTGGTATTGTTACAAAGCAGTTCTGAGGGTGGCGGACGATGCGTATTACTTGAAGTACCAACACTAGGCGATGATCTGCCAACTGCAGAAAGAGAAAAACACAGTTTTATTTTTATGTTAACACAGAAAATTGCCTTTAATTTAAGCCTGTAGTTCATTGTATTGTATTTTTCCAAGCAATTGGATTCAGAAGTTTGCTGTAAGGAATTAAATGAATACAGCTTGTGTGACGGCTGATTAAGATAATATGCCAGATTAAGACATCGTTATTACTCAGCAAGATTATTCAAAGATTCATTTGTTGAGTGCAAGTAACATTATCACATACGTATCATTTGATAGTTATACTTAGAGAGACATGAAGTATCAAGCGATAGTTATATTAACGACAGTTTTATTTTTATGTTAACACAGAAAATTGCCTTTTTTTAAGCCTGTAGTTATTTGTATTGTATTTTTCCATACAATTGGATTCAGAAGTTTGCTGTAAGGAATTAAATGCATACATCTTGTGTGACGGCTGATTAAGATAATATGCCAGATTAAGACATCGTTATTACTCAGCAAGATTATTCAAAGGTCCATTTGTTGAGTGCAAGTAACATTATCACATACGTAACATTTGATACTTATACTTAGAGACATGAAGTATCAAACGATAGTTATACCTGAAGCCACACGAAACGGTAAATGGGTCATATCCGGCAGCATTGTATTGGGGTGAAAAGACGATGCTTTCTGCAAAACAGCCGGCGTGGATCTAGCCAATGCATTGTGGGTATGGTGACCATACATCGAAGACCAAGGATGACCATTTTGAGCAAGCCGAATCATTGCAGCAGGATCCATTTTCTGAGATCCTGATGCACCTGATGTAACATAACTACAACCAATTCCATACGTTGCCTCAGTCTTTGGTTTTAGTAGAGGAGTTGGTGAGTAGTGAGATGGACTTGCTGTAAAATGTAACATAAAATATACATTTACTTACAATGAAGACGACGCAAACGTATAACACCGAGTCACCAATCTCTATGGACTATAGATAACTTTCTATAGACAACTTTCTGCTTGAAGCTACAGCAGTAAATATGTTTATAAATGTAGCTCGTTCAGGTTAGTAAAGTCCTGAGAAAGACTGTCGGCATTGCTGTTGACTGACGTTTCGACTACCTTAGCGTAAGTTATCTTCAGATTTAAATGAGGAGCAAACGTCAAGTTTGCCGTATTTGTTCTCTGGTCCATATGTCATCATATTGTGTATCTACAAACATGTAACGATACTCCCGGATTCAAACCATTTACTTTAGTAGTAAATATATTGCAAACTGAATTTTTGGAGTCAAATAATGAAGACACCTTAAACAATCAGAACCTATTCCATAGAATACTAGGAGATAAAATTTTCGTGTTACCACATTACCTTGGCCCATTTCCCATCCGGTAGAGCTCTGACTACCAGGTGAGCGATTACTGTTATTACGAAAACCATGTTCATCTTCCTCATCCATGTCATCTTCCATTGATGAACTATTCGTACGACTTCGTTTACGCGCCAATTGTTCAAATAAATATGGCGTTTGATCGATGTTAGACGGTGTGACGTAATTGTTACGAGTTGAACAATAACTCATTCCTTCTAGATCTGTTCTTGAATACTTTGTGCCTGAGCGGCCACATACTATTGGTGCTTTACAATGAATAAAAGAGACGATTAGTTTGCCCGTTACAAAAATTTATTTTGCAAAAATAACCTACTTTGAGAATATCTGTAAAGTTCACGAACTGAAAATACACCAGATATCGAGAGATTTCCATCCAAAGGGCTAGGAGCTGTTGAGATAATTAACAATTCATTAAGTTTAAACGAGAATAAAGAATTTTGAGATTAACTCTGATGAGAAGAAAACACAATTGAAATACATGTTTTTAAAACAGGCAGCGTTGGATTGAATGCAGCTAGAGGAGAAAAGAGTTCATCCATTTTCTACAAGGTCAACATTTTTGAATGAATGGCGTACTGCGTTAAGACTTTAGAGTGCAAAGGTGCCTCATTATACGGTATTATAAATAAAAATTTGCACGAGCTTGCGGAATGAATATGAAAATTTTGTATCTAAACCTCCATATTGCATTACAGTATGCAACATATCAACAAAGAGTTTACATGTGATGTAGTATTTTTCACATTATTCGTTCAAAAATTTTTTTTTTCAAATTAAATACAAATACATCCATTCTATTGATAATATTTTATCTATATAATTTATCAAACATTGGAATGGATACATTGATCGGTAAAAGATTTTTTGTGAGGTATTACTGTAATTTTCCCGTTATCACAATTGAAGAATAATTGATGCCAAGTTTTCATATAAGCATTAAAATATCTAAGTAGAAAACTTAGCTAACAAACATAAAGCAAGTGTGAAGATTCACCAACACAAGAACAAAGGAAAGGCGATATAAGATAAAACGTGAGAGGATATAAGTGATCAAGAGATATTATGTCATTGCGCGTCATTGGGATAAGAAAAACTAAGTGGGAATGATTAGAATCATATGACTTTCGAATGGAACAATTAAAAAACGACGTCTATTGTTAATTGTTTCACAAGGATGTTAAGGTATTCTACACGCACACGTATTGTGAGGGAGTGAAAGTTCAGAAAACAACCAAATATGTTCATCTTACGTCAATTTTGTATTGACACTTGAGACTTTCTGAAGATTCTTTGTAAAAAATATTTCAAAAGATGAAACTTTCTTTGGTTGGGTACGGAAAAGGAACAACACACAACACGATGAATGAATAAGTTTCATGTTTGTGTGAAATAATAAATTGTAAAGAGAGTGTTAGAAGAACTCAGCAATCTCACTTTAAAATAAAAGCAGAACTCCTTTTGGATTTATCAAATTCAAGACCTGAACTTAGTAAAAAGAATTTCAAAAAGGTTCTTTGACAACCAACAAAGAACACATAAACAGAGACCTGTTCTCGGAGACAATTTAAGTAATTAATTATTTCAAACAATATCAACCTCCATGTTAAATTTTTTAGCTATCGTAAAATATCCTTAAGACTAAAGAAAAGGCTGAAGAAGTAGTCCTTAGACCACGCTATCGAAAAGTCCATTAGCAAGAATCAACAAATAACCTCGTCACCATTAACAAAATTTCATTACTCCTTGAGGGTAAAGTAAAGATCAAAGTTTAATCATAATACGCTACAATGCTTCTTATCATACGGAGCACCAGAAAGCAAATCAATTTCGCTTGTTTTTTTGGCGAAGTCTCAAGCTTTTAGAAAGTTCTTAAAACAGTAACACGGAAATGTGTTCTTGCTTGGTGAAACAAGATAGAACAGGAACCACATCATTTTATAATCATTTTGTTCTTTCGTGCGTCCACATAATCACTGTTTTTAGAAGCTCTTGTCTTTGTTCGTACTAGTTCAATGTGGCACAACTAACATAAACAGAGCACGCAAACACAAGTCACTGAATGAGACAGCATCCTTAGATTTTCAACAGGATGCTTACGCATGTCATAATAAATAACCACAAATATTCTTTGTATTTTAAATCACATTTCACAATCAACTAAAGAAATCGATGATTTACTTCAACAGTTATATTATGCAAACATGACGCATAAAAAAATTTCTAGACGTCACACTGTGGTTAAAATACCCTCACGAGTTTAATAATTAGTCTTTCACTGAACTCTTAGAGATAGTCGTCAATGAGACATGTCGTAAGAAATAGACCAACATATTTTGGTTTCATTATAATATCCAAAGATTATTTCGCACCGTGTAATTCAACAAGAAAAATTGTCGATTGACAATAACAGGATGTGGCATTTAATTATATCAAAAGCGCTTTTAATCGTTGAAGCGTAATAAATTCTCCATTAAATCAAAGAATTTAATTGCATGTGCGCGGTGTTATGAGATTAAGTTTGTGAAACTTTAAGGAGTTTATTTGGTGATTTTTTACTTTGTTTTCCTGCAAAACAATTCAATACACACCGCGAAAAGGAAAGGAGTTGATCATAAGAAACCATATAAGCAGCAGGGGAAAACAATTATTTTTGCATAATGTCCATTATTCAACAAATAAAGAACAAACGAGGCTACTGAATAGGCATGTGAATATTAGCTTAATGACAGAACGATGATTAATCGTCAATGCTATTACGAAAACGAAAATATTAAAATGAATGAATATGAACATGCAAGCATAGATAATAACACGTGCATTACTCGTTACTCAGTGGCGGGAATCCTCTGTTTGTTTATAAAACACGTTTATTTTGAGGTAGACAGACCATACACTTCGCCATGAACGACAAACTGAACAACTCAATAAGATTTGACTCTTCTTGTATTATAAGCGGAACTCACGATATTATGCAGTCAAGCGAACGCCAAACAAACAATTATACTTTATCAACTTACTTGAGAAATCGACTTTGTCCGACAGACAAGCTGCTCCTGTTCTCGAAGGACTTTCATTACACTCGTTCTTTTTCTCTAGAACAAATATTACGAAGAGTCTTTTATCAAATTAGTGTTCTAATGTGACGCTAGATTGGTGTTATGATGTCTTGGTATGCAAATTAATACTAGTTTGACTTGACCAAATTTAAATCACGACAGATGATTTAATAACTAGTAAAAGTTTAGATTCTGGTTTCGATTTGCATTATTCTACTATAACCCAAATAAAAAACCATTATATTTTGTATACCTTGAATGTAAATAAAGTTAGCGAGGAATAAATCCAATTCTCTGATAGTGACCGAAATGTGGTTGGGTACGACACAAAGTGCCCGATGTTGACAACTTTTATTTTTACCAAGTCTCTCGCCATCCGTACTTTCTAGCGGTATACCACGGAATAATATGACCATAACTAAATCAAGACGCCATACTTTATCAGCTTGTCGTAAACAGTCTATACGTCGCATTTTGCCTTTCTGGTCGGGATTTGAAATGACGCAACGTGAACAGTCGACTCGTCCTGTCACCGCGTAAACAAAATCTTCCCTACACTCAGGTCGAATGTCTTTGCGAAGTTTTGCGAGTAGTCGTGAAGCCCATTTCTCCTTAACTTCAGATGATTCTGCTTCTAGCTCTTCTTTACACTTTTTTTCCTCTTCGGAACTCATACGAAGTTCGTTTCGCTTGTAATATTTACGTTTCCGTGCCTGCAGGTTAAACCAGGTGTAGGCAAAAGACTTTACGTGTGGCAGAAGAGCCTCGATAAATAGTTGAAGTTCATCCTGTTTGAATAGAGAAGAAAAATACTGTTTATTATTCGTTGGCAATGTTTGACTACCAGCCAAAGGCTCGTTACTTCTATGCTTTACCATGGTAGCTTTATAATGACGTTCATTGAGTTTGATTCACGGTCTTACGTCGTGGAGCCCACGTACCCTTGCCATTGCTATGTGTTTACACTCTAATCATAACGTAAGAACAATTCCACTAATACTCATTAGAAATAAGCCAATCATAGCGCCCGGATGCTGACGTACAAATTGTGTCAAGTGCAAGTTCTATTGTCATGTCAGATTTCGTGCAGAGCACATTTGACCGCTATTTCTCAAGTTCAAAACAGTGAGAGGACAGCACATAGCCATTGAATTACTCAGAAAATTTCACATCAGGGGATATTTTAGTGACCTTTTATGTAGCTTTGCTTACTCATCTTCCGCTTAGCATTTCCACAGTAAATTGAGTAACGCTGTTTATAATTGAGTCTATTAATCGGAGGAAACATTTTACGTTGTTTGCTTAAATGCCACAGCAAAATGTATGGTCAATAGATCTTTCTTTTTTGTTAAAGAAAGCAGTACAATGTTCCCGACAAATTGATATTATTGTCTGAAAAGGTTATTTAAGTATTATATAAGGCGATTTTATGTTATGATGTAACTTTATAGTATCGTCACAGCGCTTGTATCGAGTGGTCTCTCTAATTTTTTTCGTTAATATCCATGCATTTCACGCATAAACACATAAATGTTAAATACACACAAACATAAAAGAAATTTTGCGGCGTCTCTTTTGTAAATAAAGCTTATTGTCCTTATTGTTCTAACGTTAAGTATCATGAACAGCAAAGCAGTTTCGCGACACGAAAGATTCTTGCTTACAAAATTATGTTTTTATATGTTGTATTATGGTGAATTATCTAAACGCTAACCTGTAAGTAGCGATCTCATGTATTTAACAAAAATAAGACAATTAACAGCAGTTAGCACCTACCACAAAACAGAAAGAAACTGGTGTTCGATTGAGCATTATATTCATAAAATTGCAGGTAGACAAGTGAACTTAGCTTTACAACAATCCTTTCTTTTGTTGTTCTTTTTATATTTAAGATTTAAACGAAAGGAAAGCTTTAATATGAAGCTTTTTCTTAAATTCGAAGCAATCATCAAGATAATTCAAGAAAATACAAACAAACAACTAAAATATCTATATAGTATTTTTACTAATGACTTGTATTGAGCTGAATAAACTGCTTTAACAACTTTTGTTATTTTGATTTGATAAATCAATTAGATGCGATTTCAAAGATCTGCTGATTAATCGAGGAGCAAAAATGAATTGACATGGGCAATATTTCAGGAAAAAGAAACTTCAAAATGTTTAATATTCTATGAAGAATAAGTGCTCGTGAAAAGCAATACGTATAACAAATAATTTATTGTTATTAAATCTTTCGGATAGCAGTAGGCTAGTTTCCGTTTTTCCCTTTCATACAAACTTTGGGTTGGTCTTGAAAACAAACATGAGGACACACTATCAAAGCACATGAAAATCAGTATTGGTCTCACGATTAAATTATTGTCATTCATTGCACATATTTGAGGTGAACTAGTTCCGATTAATTTGAGGGTGTGATCTAATAACTGCCTAATCAACCGGATATCAAAGTTTGTTAAAATTTGGGTGGAAAGAAAAAAATGCCCGCTTTGTTTGAAAGCAAAAATAGCGCGAAGAAAAAGTTATTGTCTAGTTTCTACATTAACCAATATTTACTTTTTAAATATGTAGTAAGCAAATAAAATCCATAGGCTGAAATACGTTGATTTTAACTAACTTCAAATAGTTCATCACAACAACATTATGTTTATTTAACAAACTAGAAAGAATATTTTAATAGAAATAAACGTTAAAAAATCATAGCACATATGATATGGTTTTATTTATGAGTACAAACAACACATACTATCTAAGTTGTAAAATCTACGCCATTATTATACAAAAAAGCTCCATAGTAAGAGAAAACCTTCCACGAATAAATAACACATTTTGCTCCTTTACTCCTGATAGCTATAAATGCAATATGATTACCGTTTGTACAATCTAATTCTATTTTATATGTGAACTAAAGACTATTATATTGCTGTAAACACAACGATTATGTAACTTGTCAGATTTAATGTGATTTACTATCTGTGTCTAACAAATTCTACAATTTAGTGATAGATTTTCTTGGTTTATATTATATTCATGATCCCAATTCAGCTTTTACACGCGTAATAATCATAAATTACTGATACAAATCTAGAAATATAATATCTTTTGCAACGCAGAATTAACACATGTGAAAATATATACATTCACCAAAAATACAAAAAGTTCCTTTCTTTCATGATAGGAGATAGAAAAGAATGCAAAACTACTCTAACTTGTCCCCAGCTGGAGAGCCGACTGAAAAATAATAAGTTACCTGTTTTTACAGGTTACACAATATGGAAGAATAATGGTTGAATAAAAAGATGTCTTAATGACTGTTATGTTCTATACATACACGCCCATATTGTCAACTATTTCTTGGTATGTTCATGAATAAAGTAATCGTCCAAATATCATGAGAAAAATACCACAGTCTCTTCCTACAAACTCTATCAATATAAGACTGGAAAATCAACAGCAAATTATTTGTTCTTTCATGCTAAGTCGTAACTTTTACGCTAGGAAAATAAATCAAGCTCTTCTATAGTATGTATATATTAGTATGGCAATAATTGTAAATAGAAAGCAATGATGTGACTTTCCAAAAATACTAGAAAAAAGAATACAGTGCAGTTAGTCTGAAATAATTGTTCTGGCAAATCGACTTGAATAAACTTTATGTTGAATTCAAATGTTCATTTGATAATTTGACTGAATCTACAAACACATTTGACGTTAAGAAATTAAATTCTATACGCATTTAGTGTGCGATCTATAAGAAACAGCATTTAAAGTCTATGCCTGTTTTTTAGCTATTTAAGTTCTTTGTATCAATAACTTTGCTTTAAGTTAATATTTCTTCGTCATAAGCGCTTCTATGTATGCTGTCTCAATTTTCTTTTAATATTTTAAATGCATGTATGAAATACAGCAATCGAACAGCACATATATACATATATATAGATCTGTTTTACTATAGCAAAAACCACAATGGGGGCAAACTAATTCTAAATTTTTATTCCTTGCACACACCAAGATTTAAAATAATAATAAAGCTTTATTGGATATCAATTATAGTTAAATTTTTTGTCATGATCTTGTAGCACTTGTTATTGCGTTAACATGCTTCGCATTATTCTAAAACTATGGTCTAGTTTTCTTTTCCATAGCGTACAATTGAATAGAGCTATAATGTCTATTGCATTCCGATGAACATGACATCTGTATGAACGCAGTATATCTATTCGCGCTAAGGCAGTTTTTACTAAGTGAGCAGAATTTTAATTCCATGGGTTTCGTTTTGTTAAGAATATATAATTATCAATAATGTGTTCAAAGTTTAGCCATAACGACAAAAAATGGCAGGGCATATTTATAAAAAAAACAGATATATTCGTTGAGTATTTTTACCTCCAAATAAGCCAAAAATATGCCTGAGTAGTATGAGATTAAGACAACAGCGACTATATCAGAATGATTGCAAAGTAGGAAGAATTAAACCGGAAGACATCGTAAGAGTTTCGAAGTCTACTCGCGTTCAGTTTGTCGCTTGCAATTCAACTCGAAGATTAAGTGTCTGACCTGAAAATGTTTTAACAGTGACTCAGTGAGACTTTTTGGCAAAATCCACAAGTAGACACAGCAATACACCCATCAATTTGGCATCACTGATAAGTTTCCTTTACGACATACCTTGCCGTCCTGACTCAAAATTAATATGAAAATGATGTTCTCCTATTTTAGTTTTTCACGTTTTTACTTGGTATAATGATTTACGGTAACTCTCTCAATCGATCAACGAAACATTTATAACTAAATTTCAAGAAGTTTAGGCAACTCAAATTATTAAAAGTCGACGGGTTAATAAATAGAAGAAGTTATAGTGGCGGTTCATCACGTATAAAATGGTTTTTGCTATTTTGCCAAGTCAACCAGGTTCCTACAATAAAGCATTAGCGGTCGCATAAAATCATTATCTATAAAGTGCACCGGCTAAGTTGATAAAAACGGAATGCAAAGTATGATAAAGTAATAAACTACTGAAATAAATATGTGATCTTCTGTCTCAGTTAACATTGTCACACCATACGAAACAATGACAAACGCTACGTTACACCCGCAATCAAGTCACGCAAGTGTATAATTTATACAGCAATAGAGCGAGGAAAAGCGACTTGTAGACAAAAACTAATCTAGAGTGTTCTTCAGCAAGATATCGAATAAACTCTTCACCTGGTTCAAATATAGTTGAAACTTTTCTAAATAATTTACGTGCGGACTGTCTAATTAACAAACATATTGTTTAAAAGTATTCTGTATCTCAGTAATAATCAATATATAAACATAAATAAATAAACTAGTTTCGCCTTTCAAGCTTCAACTATATTGAATGTATCAAACTTTCACTAAATGAAAATACTTCGTACAAATATACATGATACATAAGTGATTGTATAATCATTGACTCATTTACCATAACAACGCTGTGGATTCCCATAGGATGTTCTTAATAATTCCTAAGGCATAACTGGCTTCTGCAATGTCATATCAGATACGCGATTGTTCCACTGAAGTTTATACTTCAAGTATATATTTTTAAGTATTTGTATCACGTGTGTATAACCGACGGTTAATAAATGTAGCTGAAAACGAGGCTGTATAGAGGACCTTTTATTTAACCATGTTTGTTTTCATATTGTTTCAAATATCATGTTTCTCATTGACGTCATCATGACGTCGTTTAGTTAAAAGAGGAAGTACAGCTTAAAAACATGCATAAACTGTGGTTTCAGATCAAAATGGTTTATAACGGTATAAATCACATGAAAGACTATTTGATGAAAATAAGGATTAGATTAGATTAAAGTTAATTCTGACGTCACTTGAAATGCTGATATATGTGTGACATGTCGTTCACCACTGTTTTAAACTTCACAGACTTTACTGCGACAGAATTATTTTTGATGGTCTTATATAGACTGACTTTGATTTAACGGGTATTATGTTTCAAACAAACAATTTGAGATATTTTTACGCAAGTCTTTTACGGATATATCATTTGTTATGTTATACTTAGTAAATGTCAACACAAACTTTTAACGCCCTTTTCCGAGTGGGCTTTGGACAATAGCATTACACTGCATGATTTTGTTTAAAATATTTCTTATACAAAATACCCGGAGACAATTATGAGTTTGGTGTTTGACCATAGTATCTTTTGCATACCGAAAATAATAAAGCGTTAATTTCAGCTTATATTATTTATTCAAAATCATACTGTTTTATAGAAAATTCAAAGCATAATTTTAGGACAAAACACCAGAATTTGCAAGGTAAGAAATCTGCCATTTCAAGAATTGTGAGTTTGGTAAATGTCTTGGATGTTTTTGTTCGCTACTTATGGAAATTCAACGCATGTCATAATATAAAGTTTATATTATGACACAAAATCTTCGCATTAGTAACATGTGTTGCTCTGGCTAGTGGCTAATACTCGATTTTGATGTATTATTTTTCAGATTGTATAGGTTCTGCAGATTTGAATAAAGAATGTAGAGCACTATGATAAATTAATTACTATCCATGCGAAGTAGAAGCATGTATTAGCTATGCAAAATTTTAATCTTGTTTCAAGAGCGGAAATCTTAAAGCACCGTTTTATGATTGAGGTTATCACAATTAGAATGTAAAAACCACGTAATCCTATCCTGAAAAAAATTATTCACTAAAATAAAATACGTTCATAAAAAGCAATAAAAAACCAGAAACCCTTCTCTGTTATAATTAAACATAGCATATGCTCATAACTAGTCATAACCAAGATTGCTCTGTGAAACTGATCCTGCGTATTGAGTAATTTGTACTTTCTTTTATGCTATATGAAGTCATGCCTTCTTCCAAAGTGAAATGAATTGTAGCAATGTGGTATACTTGATTTTTTCTTCAACAGGAAGAAGGGAGACTTAACATTCTTTTCCAATTCATAAGCTGTGTCGATCTCTTTATTTTCTATTTAATTAGATTACGCAGTCTGTTTATCAGAAAAGAAGTATATCGACAGTTAATGATTATACATCACTGCCTTTCTGTATATTTCATTATTATGTAACTTAAGCTATAAACCGAATTTAAAATGATAACGATATGGAAACTGCATTTAAAACCGTAGGACCAAAAGCGTACAATTACGTAATTCGCAAAAATTGCGTAACATGAGGTTGGATCACAAATGCTTCTAATGACCAGAATCAACACTCTTGACCGTTGACGGTCATGCTCACACATGCAGAGATGTACATTCCAAGTTAAGCTGTTTATTTCTTTCTAGGGAAATCTAGGGTTGGGGGTTCTAGCTGACAAATGAACTCTTACAACTCTAGTGCTTCAGCAGAATATTTTTTTGTAACCAAAGTGGTCGAAGAAATTCGGTTCATCCTAAAAAAATTCTCCTTACATTGAGTGAAGGGCAGTTATACTGATTAAAGTGCTCTTTAGCATTTACAGTGATTTAGCGTTTTAGAATGTATGGTGTTTTACAATTTTAATTGAAATCGCCACTCTGACTTCACTAATTCATTTTGTTCATTTGTATGAGATAATTTGTGATTTTTGTGAAACTCTTTTTGTGAATAGTGTACAAAATGTTGAAAAACATATACACACAAATCCCAAAGCAAAAAGCTGATTGAATTTCAAATTTTACTTATAGAACATGACGATCGATGGGATTCGGCAAAACATTCAAAATAATGAGACGTAACAAGCAGACAATAACCGCAACTTAACATTTTCACAGGTTGTGCTAGAAAGCCGTTAATAAGATGAAATGATCTACAACTAATTGCTTATACTTAATTTGGTCTCCAAAATTGAAATCAATCAACTTTTTGGAAAGGATCATGGCTGTTAACTATCACCTCGTTGTACGCAAAACACCGATAGAGTTACACAAAAATCAAACAACATCTCAAAGAAGCAAGTAGATGGAAAGCATAAAGTCGGAGATTGGCTGTACGAAACTACAATAAAGGCAGTCTCAGGCTGTGCTGCAAAACCGATGAAATGATCGTTTTAGGAGGTTAATTAAAATAAAACACTTAGAGACAACTCTGCAATTTAAAAGGATGACAAAAATATATATAGTTTCCAGGAATCTCTCCCTGTTTTGGGCTATGAACAGTATAAAAATAACTTGCCAGCACTACCACTAAACGATGTGATGAAATCTTTCCAAATAAAATGAATTTTTTTACCAAATGTTAAAGTATTTACAAGCCATGCTGTCGTTGACTTTGCGTTGAAGTGTTTATCCCTATAATTGTATTTAATTTGAGAGCACTTTTCGGTACATGAAAAGGCTTGCCGACAAAGGCAAGTACTCTTGTATCAAAACCTTTGCGGTGGCACTTCTATGACTTCACCTTCAGATGTTTTAAATTTTTCATTGATATCTCTGATGTTTTGCTGCTGAAACTCACAAGTAAACAACTTAATTGGGTTTTCCAAAAATAGAAAACTTGACGCATGTGTTTGATAGCAAAATAGTCGTGTATGCCCCAACGGACAGCCATCACGTATGAGAAGAATGCGACAAAAATGCAGCTTCAGCGCTATCATTTTATAGAGTAACAAAGATCTCTTAATATCATAAGGAAGCTCTATACTTGTTGAAACATTGTTTGTACAAGCAGTTTTTTTCAATTTAGCTTAACTGAACAAAGTGTAACAATACGTAAATAAAAAAATAATCAAGAGAGTTTTTGACAATATTTTACGGAGTATGGCTTATTTTAGCATACATAATTTTGTGTATTGTGTAATAATAGGAAAATGTGCTGTAGCCTGTAGGGTAAACTGTATTGAATTAGTTTTGTTATTCAAGGTTGCTATCAAATTTAAAACGACTAAGAGCATGCCCCACCTAATAATTATCTGCCGACCTTTATTCTCACTGAGCTCTGTTTCAAAAGAAATCTTATTAGACTCAAATTCGGCGAGCAGTGAAGTTTGTGGTTTTCAAGTGCTCTTTGCTTGATTGTTGTAAACACAATGTTATTCTATTGTTTTATGTACAAACACTTGAAGAGAGGAAATCCTTATTAAGAAAATGTTGAACATCAATATACCGCTATCATAGGTCATTAACATGTGTTAAGCATTAGATTCTATCATTCAACACCTACCTTGGGTTTTAGGAAATCATCTACAGGTGAGCTGAGTAAGTCATGATGACAATTGTCTTCGCTGATATTATGAAGATGGTGTTCTATTTTGGGTATTTAATTTCAAACCTGAAAAGCTTTCTTGTTGTTTTATACAAATTACAAGATGAGAGTAGGTTATAACCATGTTTTAACACGTTTTGTGCGGCTAACACTTAATATTTTCTCAATTTGACAAAAAACTTAAAACATAGCCATTTCATGAACTATGGTAACAGCAAAATGAATGAAAGAGACATAACAGTAAAATATTTGTAAACTATAATGACCACAACACAAATATCGACAAAAGTTTTAGCTCTCATTCGTTTTATAAATTCTTTGTTTTAGAACCTAAACTTCCGATTAAAAAATTGACAAATCTCAATTCCTAGATGATAGAAGGGTATGTTCTTGATTGTGACGACGAAAGGGCATAATGAAAAGCCTTCAGTGTATATGAGTTGTGCTAACACTACAGATTTTGCCTTACTTAAGATGTCCTTCTTCTTACTTTATCCAGTAATAGCCTCATGCAGTCTAGAATATATTGTTGCGCCTGGCTGGACCTGGATCTGGACTTCTAGACTTACTCTGAACTATTAAAACTGTATGCACTTGTAAGGTGTGTGTCTGGCATAATTTATTTGAATACCTTCAAAACTTCTGAAAACATCAATGAAAGCTACAAGCTTCACCAGCTATTTTTCCAGCAGTAATGACGTCCATTGCTTTCGTTTCAAATCATCAAAAAGATTATCTTTAGCAAAAAATATCACTTTAGATTTACGACTAAATGCTTTGTAAAGCATGACATGATTATTTGTAAATAAGGAGAAAAAAATATAGTGTGTCTTCTTTTGCTTTAAAGTTGGCATAACGACTTAAAATGAATACTTCCAGTTTTACGGATAGATGGCGTGAGGATGCATTCAAAGGAATTTTATCTGAAGGGTTAAGCGACTTGAATTTACTGCATTTGCTGCGTCTAGCCTCGCCAATAACTTAAATATAAAAGCAAAAGAGGCTTATTTCGGGGTGAAGCTACCATTTTCCTCCAGTGACGTCTCGCCTGGGTTGAAAGTGAAATCAATGCCTGGAACATGTATTTGATGAAAAACTTCAAATTTCAAGTGCTGTTGGAGGAAGGTGGTTGACATGCGTACTTAAATCACTCGCTGTATTCTTGAAATCAGAAAACTAATTGATTAATTGCAACAAGAAAGTAGAATGTGTTTTGGGTACCATGCATGTTCCAGTAATCATTATGTTTATGGCCATTGGTCTTATCCGGAAACTGAAATAAATTAACATTGAAGATGATAACGGCAAACACATGAATGTCTGATTACTTATAATTAGATCATTAAATCGTGCTTCATCGTAAAATAACTATAAAACTAATGTGATAACAACAGCAAAATTACGTTTTCAACGATGTTATTTTATGTACATGAATGCATGTACACATCTTTATAATAGAATTGTTATGACTACAAAATGTTCATCATTATTAACTCATTATTCATCTTCGGAAGGGGAGCGGTTATTAGAGAGAGGTGTTTATTAGAGAGAGGTTTTATTATTTCAAAAATTAATGATTAGAAACTCAGAAATAAATAAATTTGACAATTTCTATCAAGCATAAACGTAAAGATATGACTCAAATACAGTTGATGTGTAGACTAGTGAGATAGCACCAATAATGGTAGAGACGCATGATTGGTTGGACATATCACCATTGAACTTTCCCGATTGTGGGCTACATTTCCTAAGTCTCCATCAGAAAAACTGTTTCAGTAAAAGTCTACATGGAAAAGAAGTGAGAATTAAGCCGATTAGTTCCAGGCATTTTCCCAAGTAGAATTAAATTGGTTTATTAGATTGGGCCTTCGCTAGGTAGAAGGCGTTTATTAGATGGAGGGCGTTTATTAGAATAAATGCGGTATTTGATTGTCGCCATGTCACCATGCGTATCATTCATAGTTCACTTTGAAATTTGAAAATTAAGTAATTGTTTGAGAACTGTCAAAGCTTGCAAAGTTGTATGAAGAAATCAAAGCTAGAAAAAAGACCATTGTCGGACAATGTTAGTATAAACTGCGTTGATTTTCTTTTTAAATTTTTCAAACATGCATTTCATCATTTGATGTTGTTTATAGTTTGTTGATCTTCATGTGTTTGTGGTACCATATAAACTTTGGATGGAAAAATACCGAACTGCATACAACAGCAGTACTCTTGAATCAATTTCTGCTGGATTCGTTAGGTAGGTACCATATCTAATGAATAATTAGGCTCAGGTTTGTACTGTAATTTTTAATCTTATATTGAAACGTAAATTTCTTTACTCTTCTCATTCTACCAGCAACCAGCAAATTTTAAAGAAATATTGTACAAATTTTTAAAGGGTATTGATCATGCTTTTCAAGATATAACATAAATTTGATAAAATTATATACCTAAAAGAAATGAAAAAGCTGAACATTTACGGTGAGGGCTTGTTGCCATGGAAACACAACGAGACAAAATTTTAAAAATATTTCCCAGATAATTTGGTTCATTTACCGAAATAGAGAAGAGCTTAAGTTTAGTAGAAAAGAGCTCTGGTTTAGTAGGAAAGAGTTCTGGTCTGTTTCACTTACTTTATAATAATATTGTAATAAAATGCCATTGCAAAGGTCTTTTTTACATAGCCATCCATCCATGAGTTGATCCCAATACAATTTTGTTTGTGACTGCTTCGTAGAGTTCCCCCACTGATGACACTTGAAGATTTGAGAAGTCAAATAAAGGAACAACTTTATGGCAGTGATGTTATCCCAGATGAATATGTTTATCTGCGCTGTGTTGGTCGATGTCTTGCCAAAGTGTGTTTTTTTATTTGTTTGAGTGAACCATAGGTTTAAGATGTAGATGTTAAGATAATACTTTAGTTTTTTTGAAGTAATTTTAGTCTTACCAAATTCTATGATATAAAATATCTCTTGTTTGTGTTTGCTTTATCAAATAATGTTTAGAATTTCATAAACACTATAACTATCAAACCTTTGGGCCCAATTTCATGAAAGTGTTTTTGTTTAGGTCACTAGAGTGCAAGAATTCTCTTTAAAAGTCAAACATTTTATTCCTCCTGTGGTAAGAATTTGAAATTAGGGATTCAAGGTGCAAAGTTTAAAAAAAACTTTTTGACTAGGAATTTGAATCAATTATGAAATGATTCATACATTTATTTCATCTCTCTACTAAATCAAATTTAATTTTGATTCATGTACCATAAAGTGAACATCCATCGACTTTATGGCAAATAAAATTTTTTAATAAAACCTATCACCAACTATAGTCAAAATAACCCCTTGTTGTCTTGTTGTTAATGGCTTGTTATGTAAGTGTCTTGTTGTTTATGGTGTAATACATATGATTGTGTAATTCCTATTCGCATATGTGGGTGGTGGTACATCTGTTGGCTAATGGTCAGTGAGGTAATGAGTTTGAAACAAGCTGAAGAAGACAGATAACATGCCGCGCTGCACATGTTTGTACCTTACAGAATAACCAAGCTTCTAAACTATTGTTTTCTTTTGAGTGTTTCCAGTTTGATATGGCAACATGTCCATACAATGAAAGAAATTAACAAATTTTCCCCATGATATCGGGAATATAAAGCACACTTCCATCTTTTCGCCACTCAGTCAAGCGATACATTTATATATAACTATTTTTGCCTTGATGTTGACTGTACATTCTATTTGTGTTGTCATAAATCTTCACATAAAACTATTCCATTCTTCATAAATCTTGTTCTCTTATCTTTAGGTCCAATCACCAGAAATTTTTGTTTTATATGGAAACCATGAAACAATGAATATCTCAATTAGCTCTGCCTCAGCTCTTGAAGAATATGAACAAGGTATAATTTTAAGTTTTAGCTTAAGTGGAATCACTAGTTATATTAAGTTTAATGTAGCAACTGTGTTGTTGTCTTATATTTTTATCTTGCTTAGTTCGAGGAAACAAGGAGTACACAAAAGAAAAAGAAATGGAAACGTCAACAGGAGAAACAGAAATGAAAACTCCGACGAAATGTTCATCATCCGAAAGTAAAACTCGGGAAATCGTTGACATGACTGAAAGACGTGTTCATTTTATACAACATGATGGAAATGACAATGAAAATAATTTTCCTATTGAAAACAACGTTAAGAAAAAGGAAGAATTAGTCGAAAGAGATAAAGCAAAGACTGTCGACGATGTAGACCCGTTTTTTCAACAATTTTCTGCTAATCTTAACGAAAAGGTTAATGAAGTACACAAAGATCATCCAGGAACTACGTGCGATGAATTAAACTCAAATAATTTACAAAAATATATGAAATCCAATGATCTGAGTCAACAAAGAAAGTCTCCAAGTTTTAAAGATAAAACTGACAAAACCCCAAGGTAAGCTTGGAAATTTCACACGTACGAAAATTATAAATACCTTAAGTGTTGCCTTAGCAATTTTGATCAGAAATCCTGCTTGCAACATTTCTTTTGCTCCATTTAAATCTATTCATTCTACTATACATTTCATTCGATTGTATAAAATCAATACGTATCTTATTCAATGAAGATGAACAGAGCATCTTATTAATAATTGTTTAGGGATAGAGGCAGAAGAAAGAAGCCTCTCCCTCAATCAAAAACTGATCCATCTCAAGTGCAAACTTCGTTAGAGAAAGTTAGTGGAATAAATGAGCTTCGTGATGATATGGAAACTAAAAATGAAAATGTTTACGATGACAATGAATTAGTGAGTAGAAAGATAAAGAGTGAAGAAAATTGTGATCAACATATGAAAGATGAGCTATCGAAAGTCGAAGTAAAGTCAGCTCATAGTGAAGATGATAATACTAAAGACATCAGTAATCATAAGATTTCTGCCGTTGAAAATAATGATTATGAATCAAATGGTGTCGTTGATGTGCAGAAAAACGTCAACAATGATAAAAACAGTCGTGTTGTGTTTTCAACTAAGAAAAATATGAAACATAGCGCTGAGAACTCTGTTGCATCTAGTGGATTTGAATCTTTAAACACGTCGAATGATAATAGGTTCACTGTCGAACAACCATTGAAAGATATTGAGAATAAAATGGCTGAAAAGGAAAATATTGGTAGGCATACTTGCGGGAAGGCGGGGAATAGTGAGGGATCGTGGGTTTTGTTCTGTACGTGAATTTGGTTCATAAACTTTCCAACTTCATTAGCTTTGATTCTTTGTGTTAGAGAATCCAAAATTAGATCGGATTTTGTATCCTTAGCTAGTACGTAGCAGATCGTAACTGCTTAGAATCCAATTACCAACTCAATGATTTAAAGGAATTTATAGTAATTAGAAAAGAGGCTTCAGATATTTTATTTAGAATAAGGATTTAATGTTATGGATTTCAGATGACAAATCATAACTGTTCGTAAATTCTACATACATTTATCGACAACGATTAAGTGATGGTACTAAAAGAGGTTTTAAAAAGTTCAGAGGAATTTTTTTAATTGGGCACGAGAGAGAATTTTTCTGAACTGCGTCCGAATAAAAAGGATGTATTCAGGTTAGACAATTATGAAACATGTTCTACAGTAAATTGTTGTGTTTTTACTGTCTTATGTAGTTTTAGAGTTGCAAGCAGAATTGAATGATGTGAGAAATGAAAGGTACGAACAATTTCCTTTTTTTATCCGTTTACATGAATGAAATGGTTGAAATGATGAGTGTGTATAGATTTATCATCAAGATCAGTCATCACTTTCATTAAAAAAATGAATCAGTGTATCTAGTTGTGATTTTTTCGTTCAATAAAGGAGAACAACCACAATTTGTGAAATTATATTCAAAATTTTTCAGGTCAAATAGTGAAAAAGCAAGAGAACAGTTGTTAAAGAAAGTTAAAAATCTACAAGATCAAAATAATAAAAGACAAATTGAAGGTGAGCCTAGGGACATTGAAATCGAAAATATTACGTCTATACTCACATTAATTCTCAATAAAAGAAAATTTACTTCGATATAGCTAAAAGTTTATGGAAAAAGAGATATTTTGAGGAGAAAAAGAAAACAGTTTCATTAGAAGAACGTTGTAATCAGCTACGCTATGATGTTGAAGTCGTTCATAATAAAATACTTTCTTATAGCAATGCTAAAGGTATAGACTTTCATACTTGTAAATTCATGATTCCCATAGTTTTCATGATAGTTTCATTGTATAGAACGTGATTCTGCTTCATCGTATCTACTGAAAGATGGAGATCCTAAAAAGGTTGGTTACTAAGATCACATTTTAGAACATGAGTATACTCAGTGAAAACATTGTTTGGTAAATAGAAATCATAAAACAATTAAAAACCCCATAAGTGAAATTTCACCGCTTGTGTATTGTTTATTTCCACAAGTTGAACGCTAAGATATTGCTAAGTCGGAAAGAAAACGAAGTCGAAGAGCTTAGACGACGTGTGGAAGAAGCCAAAATTAAACTGGGTTCAGAAATGAAGGTCTTACTTTTTTTTTTGAAATTGAACCATACATTTACTTAGCAAGTCTCGACATATATTTTACACTTTCCAATTGTCAACGAATTCTGAAAACTAGTCTTTTTCCTCTGTAGCTCCGTGACAACGCTCAAAAAGAATTGAAACAAATTCGTGATGAAGTTATTGATAAAAAGATCAACGCCACCCTAGTAAAGAAAAGTCTTTCTTTGTTAGAAACCCAAACTCAAAATGACGTTTGACTTTTATCTATGCGGATGATTTTATAAAAATTTTTAACTTTATTTAAATAGCAACGTACATATGTGTACAATTTTGTACATAGTAACATGAAGTATCGATACATTGTAGGAAAATTTATGTAACATGCAGTTGTTTTCACGATGTAAAGTTGAAATGGTAAACAAGTAAAAAGCGTTATGCTGTTTCGTTTTGACCGAACTATTTGACGTACTTCAGCTTTTACAAGTTTCTTTTATTCTTTCGTAATGGTCACTAACTTCGAACAAGAAATTAATAAACTTAATCCATTGTTTAAACAACACATTCCATACCAACCATAAGCAACAATAAAAACAGTAAGGAGCTTATTACACGAAGTCGTCTCAGCAAGTCAGTGACGTCCGTGATGGTTTAAAAAGTATTACATACATACTTAAAGTCGTTTTTCTACCAACTAAATCCTTCCCTAAAAGGTGCATGACTAGAAGAAACGTTTTGAAAAGGGACAAACTCAATAGTTAATATCTACACCTTTCAATAAGTAAACAAAACCTAAGCTATTGAACGCACATGAAGAGTCCACACGGCACTTTCATTGTGTTGTATTGTTCATACTCTAAACTCAAAGCGTCTGTCACTCCAAAAAATAAATTTAGTGCTTCTAATACAAAAATCAACATCGTATTACTCTCTACAAACAAAATTTAATTACCCAGAGACATATGGAGGATTATAGAAATTACGAGTACATTAAGTAAATCTACTTTAAGTTTGAATAATGACATCGTTCGTGCATGTGAAATGAATAAATGTATTATATATACGTAATGAAGAAAACACCATTTTCCAAATAAAGTGCATATTCACAGTCAAAACTAATAAACTACAATTTCTGAAGTCAAATTTTTACTACCCAATGAAAAATAGATATTACTACATTTACTTATTTAGATGGCAATGAGCCAGCCTGGGCCTCATTCTCATCAAGGCTCAACAAAGGTACGTCATCTTTTGCTTTTCCTTCAGACAAAAATTCTCTGATAAGGAATGCCTATGTGAACAAGAGAAATGATAAAATAAATAATACAGGATTTGCTAAAACTGAAGATGTCACCACAACATGATTATTTATTATAAGTGCAAAAACTATAGATAATTTTCTTTACCTTCTTTGGTTTTCTGCAAGATTTTTTTGAAGATGAGCTTGAGAGAGTAGCAGCACAACACAACCAAAGTAGAAAGAATGAAGAAAGAAAGAGAATGCTACTCAAGATCCACATTGGAATACCAGATTTGTGGGAGACACAATTAAGCCAATGATGACCACGACGAACAATAATCCATGATTCATATTGTTCACCGTACTTTCCATTTGTATCTATAAAATGATGATAATTCAACCAGCAAGATCTACATTTATACTGTTTGTAGAAAAAAATTTTTGAATCCAAAATATAATGATTGTAAATTTATGATTCACCATCCAATACAACACAAGTGAGAACACAATATCCTCTGTAACACCAGTGAAAACACAATCTCCTGTATACAGGTGTATGTATGAATTCAGATGTATGAATTGAAACCTTGTCAGTATTAATAGTATAGCATAGTGTACATATGAACAAATCATAAAGTCACACAAAAGCTTTAAATGTTGTGACTGTAAGAGTAGTATATTTTGTTTGCCACAATGTAACACAGCGTTCCTAAAGATGTTGCCTACATGCTCATAGTGAAATGCAAATTATTTTTGAATCATATAACTCTAGAGAAAATAAGCATTAAAAAAATTACTTTCATCACTTTGCTTTCCTGGAACATCGATTTCATTGTTCCTAGCATTTGGGTCTTTGGATGAAACAATTATTCTTGGCTGATCCTAAATTTGTTTTAAACATTTAAAAACATAAGAACAATGGGAAGTCAACAAAACTTAAGTTAAAAAAAAGACAAGGTGATAATATTATATCAATATCATAGATACCTGAATGTTGACAACAACCAATCCTCCATTCTCAGAACGGAAATAATATGAAGTAGAAGATTGAATGTAATAAGTAAGTCTGTTAATCATACCACGTCCATATGTTCGTAGAAGCATGACAGGATGAAGGATCATCCCTGCAACTGTACTATGTTGCTCCTCAAAATAAACAAGAACACATATTTACATCTTTTCCAAAAAATCTAGTCTATTCAGCACAGAATCTTGCTCCATTTTGTTTCCAAAAATTTCTCTTGTGATATTACTATTCATCAAACCAGAGGCAATGTCATTTTATACAAATCATCATATTGTTTAAAAACATTGGAGAAATTTACAATGATTACATAAAGATGTGTATATTTGTGATATGGAAACTAATTTTATTGAAAAAATAAAACGGGACATAACTATTATAGCTTTCAGAGCAAAAAGAATGGGACTAAAAGTTAAATTGCCATAATGTCTTATTTATTCATCAAACTTGAGTACACAAGGATCAGTATCATTGATTCTTACCTGGTGTGATTCTGTTGGGTTAGTTTCAACAGTTTGATGAATTTCAATGTTCTTTCCCCAACTACAACCAGTCTGGCAAGCATAATAGCTTCCAGATGCAAATCGAACTTTACACTCTAACACATAAGAAATGCAAATGTTTTTGTACAAAACACTTTGTCAAAACATTTATTTAAAAAATAAATAACACAACAGTACAACATCATGGTTGTTGCAATAGAATATGCAGCAAAAAAATTAAACTAATGAAAACAATGATGGCTCTAGCTATAATGTTTAAAATATTATTAAATAGGTTTAATTGTTAGTAATTAAAAATTATATATAATAATTTTGAACATAGTGTATTTGAAACAGTTTATTGGGAAAGATTATGTCAAAATTCTGGCACTTTCTTTGAGTTATCTTTATGATGTATGAAACATATTCACGTGATAAAGTTCTTAAGGTTCTTTAATAATTAAATATCTGAATATTCATTAAAAGAGTTTGACATTCAAATGAGTTCAATAAAACCCTTAAAATACAAGACTAATTCGATTTTCTTTGTTTAAGTAGTTTTTATTTGTTATATTCCAAATTTTGCAAATTTTAATTCTAATTAACTATAGCATATGTCAAAATCATGACTGCCTTCTGATAAAGTAGTTGCTTTTCAAACATTGACGACAATTAGTTCTTTTCAAGACCTTCAGCAGAAATGGTTAGCGTTGCAATGTTGCATACGTTGTTTTAGGGCGTCTATCGTTAAGTGTAAAAACATAACGTAATTTTTTTAATAGTGAAGATTTATTTTGGTAAATTGCACAGCTGTAATCATTTCGACTGTAATCATTGAAAATAATTGGAAGTTGTTTTTCACAATCGCTAAAAATAGGAAACTATGAACATGCAACTTTATATTGCTTATAACTATGAAAACAGAAAAATACACGATTGATTTATTTTATAACCTATAGAAGACTTTCTTTCCTCAAGAAGTGTTTACTGTCTATAGATTAAATATATAGCAACAGGTCGAATGTTTTTCAATGTAATTTGATCATAAGCAATATGTATCTCATATGACAGTCATACATGGCGACATAATAAAATACCTTGAGAACAATTACGTTCAACTGGAAATCTAAATCTTCGCCACATATTTTCTCTTGCAGCGCCGAAACAGCCATGTATACAGGCTTCATAATGTTTACCCTTAAACAAAGAAGAAGTGACAGCATTGTAGTATTCATAAAATTAAAAGGAATCGTGACAGAAAAAAAATTTGTATGACATCAACAACGGTGAAATGACTTCACAAAAATTACATTCACATACCGTTTTATATGTATGAAGAGCATAAGTTCTATTACATACACTTCTACATTTCGCTATGTCTTCTAGACTGCTACTAAGTCCATTCGAAAAAGCGATGAAAATAACCAAAAACAACGAAATATAACTCAATTCTTTGGTGCCATGTCGAAGTTGTATTTGTTGATGTCGATTTACGCGATTTGTTAATGCTAATTATTAATGAATCACATAACGCATGCGTTGTTTACATATAGAGAGGAACATTTGGGGTTAGGTGGGGTTTTAAAGTGGTTAGAGTTAGACAACAATTAGACAACAAGATTTATGTAGGGTGGGTTCTTCCCAATTAATATTTTTCATCTGTTGTGTCTGGGAAGGATTTAGGCGTATCTTCAATTATTAAACCACGATAAATGTTGAAAGTTTGCACACTGACCAGTGAACTGTCTCCGACTGGTTTTGCATGAGCTGTTACATATACTAATAACATCACGTAACTTAACATTTCAATTTAATTTTTAGAAAATCATTATTCATTATAACTTTTTGAAGAGCTAAGTGGCTGTATGATGATCATTAAAAACAGTTTTTGTTTTTATTAATTATTGAATTGCCCTGGAGAAACGTAAATTATTCAAGATTTTCAATATAGGCGTCTGTCAACAAAGATTCCACGTTGACAATGTCACGGTGATTTCACCATAGGTACATCAGGTTTTACAAACGTCTACGACTAACCATGACAAACTTGAAAACGTAACAAGAAGCTCTGACGGACATTCTTCAAATGGATTTGGAAAATATATCCACGACGAGAAAAGTGCTTGCTGCCGCATTATATGGCTCAACATCATTTTTTATTGTAATTGTAAACAAGAATGTTTTGACGGCACATGGGTATGTATTTTGATTTTTTACAATTTGACTATAGGTTGTCTTACATTACTGTTATGAATGAATTTGCCAGAACTATGGATAATTTGCATTCATTGAGTTTTCAAAATATACGATGGTTTTGCTTTAAAGAAATTGCCATTTAAAATTCAAATGTAGTAGATTTGAAATATTACCTGAAATATTTTCATGCTAAAGTGATATCGTATTACCGGTAAACAATTTTCAGTGGAATTCTTCTCACAATGTCACCTTGGGTACACAATGGCAATAAATTTTAAGTGGCAAAAATCTTCCGAGATTTTTCTTGTGGAGGGACAGACAGATTCTCATGTATTGAATACAATGAGCAGTAATTTTTTTGTAAAGTATTTTCATTCATCCATTTTTTCCTGCATTCTTCTCAGCATGCATTCTTCCTTGCAAAGACTTTTATTTGAAATATTTTCTGACAGTTATCATTGTGATTGCTTGCATCATGTGTCAATATTCAGATACATACAACAAAAGTAAATAAAAAGGTCCATGTATTAACTCATGAAAAAGCAGAAAATTGTTTGAATCTTAACATCCTTTGATTAGAGTTAACAAGAATTGTTTTTACTAATATAGTTTTCCATCCTTCCAGTTTGTTGGTCTTGGACAGGTTTGTTCATGTGACTTGATTACTGAATAATGACATATTTCTTTTTAATAAAATGTAAGACATTTTTTTTATTCTTTTAGATGGTTGCCATAATAGCTATTCTCTTCACTGCCAAGAAGTTGAAAATTATTTCTTTTCCAGATTTTTCAGTAGAAATTTTATGGAAGGTAGTTAATAATAAAGTGCAGGCTTGTTTTACCTTTGGTCTAATTTCAGACAATACTTCAATTTTGCATCTGGAGTAGGAATCCATTTCATAAAATTTCCTTTGTGGAAATTAACTTGAGAAGCATAGCCAATCCACACATTTACTCCCGATATGTAAACTTCTGAGCATTCATTTTCTTATAGGTTTGGCCATTGCCTTTGATTTATATTGGGAATCTTGTGTCTGGCTTGGGAAGTACAAAAAAGTTAAAGTAAGAGGATGCTCGACCTTTGGAATTTCAATTTTAATGAAATATTACAAATAATAATGTTATGATCATTTCAGCATTCCAATGTTGACTGCATTAAGAAGATTTAGTGTATTGATGACCATGGTTGGGGAAAAACTAGTTTTAAAGCAAGTAATATTGTATACATGGTTATATATACAGCCACAGGTTGTATATTAAATCAACATTACAATAACAAAGTCAACTCTGAATTCCTTTTTAGGAAAGAAGCATCAAGATCTATACAGTTTACAGTTTTCTTGATGATTACAGGTGCACTTATTGCAGCAAGGTAAGATTTTAGGTATTCATACTTTTTTCCTATTCAAAACAATGTTAATTTGTTTCATATTCTGAAAAGATTACCCCGCCATGTATCAGAAGTGTTTTGTTAAAGTTAATATAGTGTTTTGTCCATAAAACGTATTGTTAATATAGCGTTTTCCCATAAACTTTCACTTATATTGGTTCTGGCACTTCATTTTTTCCAGTGATGACTTAGCGTTCAATTTTGTTGGTTATGCCTATGTCTTAGTAAATGATTTTTTTACTGCTGCTAATGGTAAGAGTTTACATTTAATGGTGATGAAATTCAGCCTTGTAAAGTTTGTTCTTCTTTGCATTTTTTAGGTGTTGTAGTTAAAAAAAAACTTCATTTGAAGGTATGTGATTCTTACTTACAATTTCAAAGATTCATGATTTGTTTTGAAGGTTTTATTTTTTGTTGCTTTATCATTGCACATGTACATATTATACATGTTCAAGTCTTTTGCATTAAGGATTTGGGAAAATATGGCCTTCTCTTCTACAATGCGATTTTGATGATTGTACCAGCAACAACTATCACATATTTCACTGGTGATTTAGAAAAGGTTGCCTTTGATATCTGTAAATAACGAAAAGTGATTTTGAACTTTGAAAAAGTTGCCCATTTTTTTGACAAACGTGACATTTTGATTTTTCCTTCAATTTCTAAGTTTCTTTCAATTTTGTTTCATGTTATAATGTTAAGGTTCTTTCTTATATAGGGTATACTGTATGAAGATTGGTTTAATCCATTTTTCATATTACAATTTTTACTTGCTTGTGTCATGGGGTGAGTGAAGTGATGTTGTACCTACAAGGGACGAGTTAAAGACGCGTTAGAGATGTCTTGTGTTGTGTTTTTTTAAATATCCATAGAAATTTTACTACTGATAACATAGCAAAGTGCATTTAAAATGACATAAATTTTTTAATTCACTTGTGTTGGTTCAATTCTTTCAAGATATATTACGATGACGTCATTTGTATAACTAGGGAAAAGTAGTTTTTAAGAAAAGTTTGTTTTAAAATCAATAAAGTAAATGTTGTTAGAAAACGTTTACACAAATGTTAAATTTTTCTTCATTGTCTTCATTCAGCAAACTGTGTAGTAAAATTTCGTTTCGTAATCACTTTAAATGCCTGAGCAACCTTTCTAAGCTCAAGTTTTACTCTTTAGATTCATATTGATGTATTCGATTGTGTTATGTACTGCAGTGAATTCTGCTCTTACAACTACAGTGATAGGATGTTTGAAGGTAAATCATTACCCTATGATAAGACCATGTACAATGTTTTATGCTCCGCGGTGTTCATACGTTCGTTCATCATTTCACAAAATTTTATTTTAGAATATACTTGTCGCGTATGTAGGTATTTTTGCATATGGAAATTACCAATTTAGTTGGTTAAATTTTCTTGGTCTTAACATCAGGTATGTATTTAAAGTTAACTAACAAGTAATAGCTTACTCACGTTGCACAAATGCTCTCTGATTAAGTTTAACGTATTTGAAGTTTATCTGTTTTAGTTTATATTTCATCTTTATTCTCGAACGAGAACAATTCCCGAAAAAAACTATCACAATATTATTAGCTATATTTTTATACTTTAGCATTGTTGGTAGCATTGCGTATTCGTACATTGCATTCACAGAAAAAGAAGCTGTTAAAACAGATATTTCCGCGAACAAAGGTATTATACATAAATTGCAACTGATACTCAAAAAAGTAGCTATTAGGTAAAGACCAGCACATTGAAATCACTTTATCACCAACTTAGATAATCCTTTTAGATCTTTTCGAAAGGAAAAGTACTTGACCTAAACGGTATCGACTTACTACTCACGACAATCGTTGTAATATTGCTGACATAGCAAAATGAAATTCACCGCCTAACAACCAGCTCTATTTTAAAGTTTGTTCTCCTGAACTACTTTGTAGGGCTATGTACGTACATGCTTGTTACTCACTTTAATATTTTTACTGAACTGTTTATATTTTATTCTAGAAAATGGTTCAGTTTAACGAAAGGGAATGACGTCTCTCGCTGTGTAAGAGCAGACCGAGTGACGGGTTCATTTGATTTAAGGAAACGTCACACCAATTTGTTCCATTAATGAAAATTCTGATATATCTTGTGTAAGCTGAAGTGTTATGTTCTTTCCTGAAGAGCTGACTTCATGTGGAAAACACAAGGTGGAGGAACAATGTCGTCGATTTCGGGAAATTTCACAGCAAGATTTTTTCTATTTACATTCATCATTTTACATAGTTATGTACGGTAATTTTGGCTCGTGTGATTTAAATAACACACACAACGATTTGTTTCTTAATTTATCATGAAATTCAACGGACAAGATTTTTTCACCCAATGCAACAACATAGAAAAGATAAGATCTAATTTTGTAGATGAAATTTTCAACATTTTTAACCATTAAGGATTTGAAAAAAATCTGAAAAAAATTATCTGTGAAGCTGGAAGTATTTAAATATTGTTAGATTGTTGGTAGTGTTGCAACAAGTATGGATAGTCTAATATTACGCTATTTTTTATCACTTTGAAATCATTTAACATAAACATGTAATTTGGTGGAATTTTACAGTACATACGATTTATATTACAGTTTTATTCATAGTTTCATTCTCGAGCTGCGTCTTTACCAGATATGATTAAATACAGTAAAATTTACAGTAAAATTTAATGATGAAACGATTACATTTTCAATCATTACTATGTTAATATATATTATAGACCATATCAAAACATAACTATACAACAATAAATAACTGTAAAACTATAACTGTATTTCATCTTATCTGGAGAATAAGACCTCTCAAGCTTGGCTTGTATTGTTTACACGAATGAACACATTTTAATTCTCCTTTATTTTGTTTTGTCAAATCAGGAAAAAATCCTGTGCAGACACGCACTCTTTCGCAAAGAAGAAATCCAATAATTTATTCCAGGACATTTTCAAAACTTTCCACGAATACGAGTCCCTGCCAGTGAAGCACACCTCGATTCAAACTAAAAGAAAATAATCATGTGGACTTTAGTTAGTTACACATACATGACCTTAGACGTGATAACGACTTAAAAATTCAGAAACTCGTTGCAATAGGAAGAGTATAGTTATTAGTAACTATGTTTGTAAGTGAATTGAAAAGCACTGGCGCATGACTTTTTGAAAAAAACTTGTAAATACATGATTTGAGTATGCGATAAGCAAACAGAACATATGTAGCTGGAAACTTTTTGCATCAAAAACACAAATCAATGTATAAAAAATTTCAAATGAGAAATTACATAAACCTACCCATACGAACGATTACATTCACTCTTAGCTCGGAAAACCCTGTAACGAAGGAATACAAGCAACGCATTAAATATCAATTTACCATCATCGCATCATTTAAATTAATGATTAAAGTCATCGATATTGCATTGTGTAAAATATATGAAGCTGGATTTAGATTCAATAAACGCTCTTTTTTTGGCCTAACAAATAACTAGTTGACCAATGGCATTTTTGCCACTGTAGTAAAACAACTTTGACACATCTTCAAGTATGATTTGAAAAATTTATGCATACCCCATCTTGGCTAAAAGATAGCATGTTACTAAAATCATTTGTGTCCCCACCAGGAGTTCCAGGACCATGGTCGTTGGGTGGCTCCTAATGAAAATTCAGTTGTACGTAGTTCAAACAAATAAAGACAGACAGTTCACTAGTATAATTCAACCACAATTTACACTTATTTGCAATTTAGTGGCCAGCTTTGACAGAGAGAGAGAGGGATGTGACACATACACTAGTTATAATTAAGCAGAGTTTAAAAATACGAGTAAAATAAACTTACTTTCGGTAAACCATCAAGATCTTGTTGCGAATCTAAACGCAAATCATTTCAAATTGTTTTACAAGCTGTGCGGATAAACGTCTTGCAAAAAGGGCCCTGGTCAACGTATATGAATAAATCAACTCAAACACTAAAACTGACAATTATTTACAGTTTTAATATCATTACCAATTCCAAGTCCGGGATCGGGTCCTCCTCCTATGCCAAACTACATTAAACATTCAATAATAATTTTTATAAAGAGAACAAATAAACTTTGCCATGGACGAAATGTTCAAATTACACATACCGCTGACATGTTTGCGCCGGGAACAGTTTTCATCATAACATTATACATATCACCACCAGGTGTCGGAGTGTCTAAGGGGAATAAAAACAAACTAAAATATAGTTCAATCTCGCAGTAATAATTAACTTATCAAGGTTGCTCGTTTAAATTTATGCAGTCTTTAAGTTAAACAAAATACTAACCTGGAGTTCCAGGCATCATTGGAGTACCAGGTGGACCATTGCCCTGCAATTAAAGCAACAAAATTAAGGTGAGAAATCACTTCTGATTCCGTACTCGACTGATATTAGCAATCTCGTTACAAATTTACAAGACTGTGGTAAGAAAGCACTGGCAGTTTCGCATAAATTAGTTTTGACAATGGCGTAACTATTCCGCAAGTTTGCTCCTGCAATATTTACTCAATAGATTTCTTAAAGAAACGTTAATTGATGATCTGAAATTTACATAGCAGGACCAAATTTGAGGGCTAGCTACACCATCGACAATAAAACAGATATATATCTTGGCTCATAACAATTTTACACAATCGTATGGAACGAAAGCACCAGTAGTTTCGTTCTCAAGCTTATTTTCTAATGGACACAAAATTTTGATTAACTTACCCCGGTACTTGTAGTCGGATTCCAACCTCTTCCGCTAGGTCTATATAAATATTAATTTGAATTTGAGACACATCGACGAATATTTCAATCGAGCTTGTGTTAACTTGGTTGTTTTAACTTTAAACTTGGAGCATACTACATTACAGATGCTTTTTTTCATACCCTAGCTTTAAGTTGTATTTAGCTACTAAGGAATTAAATGCTCTGTATTTTCAATAATTCAGTTAAAAGTCATGGATACGTATGGTAACCTGCAATTTTGCATGATATCAGAGATATAGTTAAAATTCAACTTTAAAAACTCACATAGTCATTGGTGGTCCAACTGGTGCGTTTGGTCTCATTGACGAGTAACCCTATTGTTAATCAGTAAATTAAAAATATGATAAGAAAATGGCAAAAAACCAATAATATATTCACCAATGGCTATTCTAAGTTGCAGCATTAACTACTGTCTAACTAGATGAACAATAAAGTAAATGGTTTGAACCCAGGAGTATTGTTACATGTTTGTAGATGTAGATTGTCCAGGGTGGTATAGTCCTGAGAAGGACTGTTTTTGTTGTTGTTGACTGACGTTTCGAAAACCTTAGCAGTAGTCATCTTCCAAGTTTGACTCGACCACAACAAAAACAGTCCATCTCAGGATTATACCAACCTGGACGATAGATGAACAACGTCATGCTACACAGTAAATTCTTATGACATTTCCACCAAGTGTACCTTAGTACTAAGTGTCTTCAATAGGGTATGATGAATTTTTAACTTTTACAAAGGAATTATTTCAGAAAACAGATGTTATTAGTTTGTAAATCTTCTTTTCATGAATGTTATTACATTTTACAGCTACACAACTCACCAACTTATGAACATCTTTTAAAAAACCTCTCCAACTATTTTTTCAAAATGTTGATAGCCAAATATTTATTTAAGTAATTTAGCAAATGTTTTCACCCAAGAAATTTATCATTGACAAAAGATGTAAAAGAAAACTACGGAACGTTTTTGAACCAATTTTTGAAAGATTAATAAAATATAATGTATAATATTACAATAATACATACATTTGGGCTTACAACAGGCATTCGTGGGGTCATTCTTGTAACTGCATTCATGGGTGGACCTGCAACTATTAGGCAACATGACCGTTTAATTTCATTGCAATAAAAAATTCACCATTGGAAATTCTTATGCACGTCTATTTTTTAACATGCTATTAACTAATTTAGCCTAAAACTTTATTGTATTATGTGCACATTTCCAAAATTTACTTCTTTAGAAACATATCATACAAACTGTGCATGTGATTATCTTTATGCTACATACCTCCAAATGCTGGTCGACTAGGATCCATTGTATTTGGTAATAATGGCTGTGCACCAGGTACTCCTGTCACCCCTACAGGCTAAAATTTATTAAATTGAGTGAAGCACCCAGGGATTTAAAATAATTCACCAATTATCAAAAACACAGAAATGATGGGAAAGATAAACTAATATTTAGTGTTCTTCATGCTTGTCATCTACTTGATATTGGTCATAGAGTATAAAAATATTATTTATTTCCAAGTTAAAGAAACAAAATCATATATATGAACCTGTCCTGGTAGTCGTACAGATGATCGTGATTGATATCTTTGAGGCATAAAGTTCTAAAACAAATAAATAATATATTATTTAGGGCATACAAAATAATTTATATTGAGCAAATTTTCTTACCTGAGGACCCATGAAACCAGGGTTCTAAAGTAAAAGTAAAACGGCAATAAAGTTTCAACACGTAGAAATTAGCAAAGAAAGTGAGAATCCATATCATGTGCACATTGCTCTTACTGGTTGCCCTGGCATGAATCCGGGAGGTGTTGGTCCACCATGATGCGGTGAAGGTTGAGGTCCTTGAGATGAACTGGACTAAACAATGAAACATAGTATATCACTAAAATCATTTATGTTACTTTATTGACACTAATCATTTATAATTTGTTGCATAAACTTACTGTGAAATAGCCAGGCATTCCTGCTAAAGTTGCTGGATTTTCATTGGCCATTTGTGGAAAAGGTGGTGAAGGTACAGCTCCGGGTTGCATGTTTGGAATCACCTAAAAATGTATATTTCACATAAAAAATAAAAATAAGCATTTATTATGGCAACATCAATCACACTAAAAGACATTAAATGTGTAAAAATGCTAACAGCTGCATCTACAATGAAAAACAAAAGAAAAGATTTTTATTCCACTATTTTCAACATGGTACAAGCCTCGTGCCTTTATGCAAAAACGTCATAAAAAACACGACAATAAGAGAACACCTGTCGCCTATAGCCAAGGAACAAAAGATTTTGAAAATTATTCAAATGCAAACATGAAGAGAGTGTCAAACATAAAGAGAGCACGTTCTGTTTTTGAAAAGTTTTCCTCCAAAATGACTTGTTAAATTAGGAAACTATTGCACAATTTATTTTATGAAACGTAAAATATTCCAGCGACGTGCTATACTGTTCGATAAAAGTATGCTGTTTTCTTTCCATAAACTACAACAGTACGTCGAAAGTTTTTGTCTCGAACCATAACATGCAAAAACCATGAATCTTTGTAAAAACAGAAAAAAAGTTTACATGGCGATAAAGATTATTTCAACAGTTGCACAAGGTTGAGCAACTTAGAAGAAAGAGATAAAGGAAAACAGTTTCATGGCAAATTATTTTATCTCGCTGCTACAAAATTATACGCAATATGCTTATTTTAAGTCCAAGTGACATGCTATACAATGGTTCACAAAGAAATCCAGTCTTGTAAATTACAAGTTTGTCAAGTGGCTTGTCAAAAGAAATTTGAGCATGCAAATTTCACTTCCGTTGTTGTACAAATTCAATACACAGTTGAAACATTTTTCAAAAAAATTCCCCCTAACTTCAGTCAAATTTCTTCAAAGCAAGGTCGACAAATGACTGTTTACGTCTCGAAAAAGGTGCATTTATTATAAATGACGACAACTGCGTAACATATTTTGTACGTAAATTAAACTGTCTTCGTCAGAGACACGATCATCTCGTCCTCGACCTCGTCGCATTTTAACACGTGATATTGATTTTTTCATAAAATGACTTGTTTTATTACACAACCAGACGTAGGTGAGAAGTTTGATTTGTTGTACACTTCGCAACCAAAATAATGCTCTAGGCTCTATTGGCCAGCTGCTTTGGTTCATTCACGTGGATTTTTGCTCTTCCGCTTCCCGACAGGTCAAACAAAGAACAAAAATGCAGTATCTTCCAATTCGTGTAAAGTTTAGATAGAAATAATGGTATTTGTAGCAATTACTTAAGCTATCTCTTGATGTTCGTTTTCAGTACAATACTCACATAATCATGAAAGGCCTTGGCTTCACTTGAATGATCAAAACTTTCTCTTCTCTCTGGCGAAGCACAGTAAAGATCCCAAAACACACTAGAATGCCATGTTGTTGAAAATAAATAAATGAGAATTTTGACAAAAGCTTTCAGCTGTACACAAAATAAAACTGGTTCGAAAACATAAATTCTGGCAATTCTATCCAAACTATTTCCAAGACTCAACATGACAAGTTGCAATATTAAAACATGTTTCAATTATGCATATTGAATGGCAGTTGTACACACTATCTGCAAGAATTAGAAGTACATATTTAAAAACATACCACCACCACGAATGAAGAAATCCCGGAGGTTCCCCAAGAGTTATATTTTTTTCCCAACGAATCTATAGAACAATACTGACAATTAAATGTCTGCCAAGTGTATGGAACTCAGGGAAAGCGGGGTTTTAGCTTTGCTACGGTCAAAATTTAAACGAACCTCGCTGAGAAACGTTTGGGCACTCTTTTGTGCGCCGACATGAAGTAAATATTCATATACATACAATGCAAGTCTACAAAAATATAAACACTGCGGTAACTGGCGGACAGTAATGTCGAAATATCGAACGCATTCATAAAATATACAAAATACGGCGGGAATTAATCTATCACTCAAGAGCCTATAGTGAAAAGAACCGACACATCAACTACACGTCATCTAGTGTTTTTGATGTTGCAGAAATAAGCCTGTTCACTCAAGAGATTAGTAATTTCAATGGCGCTTACTTTTCTCTCGCCTGAGCGTCCGACGGGACAGTATTCGTCTTGCCTTTTGAGAACATGCTGTGCCGGCCTGTCAACGTAGGATCAGTTGATAGCTCCATCATGATCGAAACGAACGCCGCCGAACCCAAGGCCAATGTACCATGACAACGATCACGATCGCTTGTCAAAAGAAACATTCTAATTGGTTCATATGAACAAATCGTGATCTTGATACAATAGACACATTCAATACTGCTTCCGTTACGAGTTTGCACAATGTAGTAGACATTGAATGTGGTGTTATCAAATGGTGCGTATTTATCTTGAAAATTATTGACATGTTTATCGGAATTATATATTGATAGAACCTATTAAATTGAGAACTACTTTATCGAATTCGCAAGTACTGCAGAAAAGATTTCATTTGAGGATATTTCTTGTTTATATGCAATTATGCATGCAAGACTAGAATATCTGTCTCTTCAGACAACGCGAATGTGCAGTTCGTACAATTGCAGTATTATAACGATTGATAATAACAAAAACTCCTACATTAGAAACACTGTATATAATGTAAATGTTGAAACTGACTTTTAAAATTGCAAGCCATTTAAGCATGCAGATCAGTTGATTCTACTTTTGATGACAAACAATACGATTAAATAACAATATGGTAAAGTTATGAAAATTTGTATTTTTACCTATTTCGTTGAAAATATACATACATACGCCATTGAACTGATTGAGACAATTATGACTATTAACTCCCCTTCCATTATTGCCCTTTATGTAAATGACCATTAATCACTGAGGTACAAAGAGGTATAAGCGATCGTGGAGTAATTTAAAAGTGCAATTACGATAACTATTGATGATTTAATGCACTAATAACTTTCCAAATTTTTCAATGGCATTCAGTACACAACCATGACTTCCCAGACGAGAGATTACAATATCAGTTGGGAGCAGTTTAATGATGCAATAGAGAAGTTTATTGACAAGTCTGAACTCTTCAATTTAAATTGGTCAATTAAAAATGTTGAGGTTAGAGAAATATTTTTCTCGCAAATGGCTTTTCTTACAGATTATACAAAATTTGTAATACCTTCATTCATTTTTTCTTATGTTGCAACGAATTAACTTTTTTATTGCATACATTGTAAAATATTTATCCATGAATTACATTCCAGTTAAGGTTTCTCATGTTTATTTTTGGTAATTCCAAACAATATTTTTTGCAATACCATAGATATTTGGTAATAATGAAATATCTTCTGATAAATATCTTAAACTTTCCTAACATCATTCCTTTTTTAGAAATTAGTTAATAGAATATTTTGAAAGAAATTATATGCAATAAGAAAGTATTTTGAACTGTGAACAATTCATTAAATATAAATTAATTTGCAGGTAAACATTTCTTAATTTTCTACCACATTATCATATAACATATCATTTTTTAGACCCAACCGGATGTCAAGTATTTAAGTAAACGAGAAAATATTTCAATGAAAATAAATAACCAAACAAAAACTGAAAGAATAGAAGATGAATTGGAGGAGGATTACAAAAATATTTTGACAGATGATGGTGTAAGTTACGTTTTTTACAATTAACATGCTACACCTAAATTGGCTTTACCCTCCCACATGAAATTTCCAGTTAAACTTGGAATGTGTACCCTGACAGTGTTTAGATTAAATACTACAGAGTCAAACATTGGCATTATATGGACTTAAATTGTATAACTTTGTAGGTATACTTGGGTGCAACAGGTGAAATACCTGATAGTGTTACATTTGAGTATCATGTTGTGTACAGTTACAGCTATAATGTTCCTGTTCTGTATTTCTCTGCATGGAAACAAGGTTAGTTATTGAGATGCCCCATTCAGAACACCTATAGTTTTAAAGTGATACAAAACTAAATTTGTCCACATTTGGAAAAGTGCCTGCTGTTGGTGCATGGAGTGTACATTCCTCAAAAAACTTTGTAGGGATCTACATTTACTAATTCTTGTAGTGTCTATATTTTGTAGGAAAGCTGAAAATTTTAGCTGTACCAACTTTCTTTGCCTCTGTCAGTTTATGGAGTAAAATTTATACATATATTTCACAAAGCTTGGGGGGGAGTCCCTCTCCTCCTAATGCCCTGTCTAAGAGCCATTGAGACCAACATTCACAATAATCAATCACAATTGAAATGAAACAAGATCTAGAAGTACATTTGTTTGATTGATCGATAGCTGTTGTGCTATCATGACATCAAATTTTTAATCTTTTAAAAATTCACGAAATTCATTTTGTTACTTATTTTATGTTTGTGAATTTTGTAGATGGAAAACTTCTTTCACTGGAAAATATATGGGAAAATGTACCATTGGTTCATAGAGATTTCTTAAAATATGACAAGTGGTCATTTATAACACAGCAGGTTTTTGATAATTTCTTCAACATATATTCATTTTAAATAAAACAAGAGCCAAATAATGTATAACCAAATTTAAAAAAAAATTTCTTCAGGAGCATCCAATATTGGGTCGACCATATTTTCTAGTTCATCCATGCCATACAGCAAATTTGATAATGCAGCTACTGATGAATGTACCAGATAGTAAAAGGTGACATTATTAAAATTATAAATCACACAACAAAATTTTATGTCCCTACAACATTGCAGTATAATGTCACTGGTTGCGTACATCAGAAATTGAAAAACAACAATAAGATTGAAAACAGATGTAAATAAACAGTGCACAAAAGTTGACTGTTAAGTTACTGTTCAATGTGATTTAAGTAAGAAAATTTTTATTTCATTAACATACTATCATGAGTCCGGCTAAGTCTACATACATTGTCATTTTCTAAGATATATACATAATATTTTTATTGAACAAAACTTCAAAAATGAAAGAAGACTTTGGTAGAAACAGATTATGCACAACTGTTTAAAATTTCAAGATTGAAATGCTAAAAAAACTTCAAACATCCTGTACTTTTCTTGCAGGTTTTTTGAAATACTGAGGGAGAATTTTTACCATGCATTGACAGTGAAAAGTAAAATGGTATATCTGAATTAGTATTCTTTTTCAATGTTATAGAGACAACCTTTCCTATTTGACAACATGGCTGACTGCAGTAGGTCCAACTGTTGGACTTCAACTTCCATTGGAGTTTGTCATTGCAGACTATCCCAGCAGTATATACAAATAATAAGGTTTTATTCTTAAATAATAATGAAGTTGAACTAGAATTTTAAGGCACAAAGCAACCCAAAGATACAAGCATATGAAAGCGCTATGTCACAAAATTTTTAACAACCATGTTAAAATAAGAAATTTGTCAAGTGGAAGGCATATATTTCCTTATGAGAAAAATATACGCCGTAAATATTTATATAAACTCCCAAGAAATCCACCATCTATGTTACATACTAAGTGTATTGAAGGCAAGATCACTAATTAGAATTAACTAGTCCCAGATGAAGATGATATCATGAGACCATTAGAGAATTTGCTTGTATGTACTTTAAATGTCATTTATTTAATGTTCATCATGATCCAAAGAAGCTGCAAAAAATGCAATTAAATTAATGACAGAAACATTGCATGACAAATGTCTTTAAAAGCAACAGAGTTGCATAAACCATTGCATAAATCATTTGCTGCCATATGAAATACTGTACATAACAATCAAAACATAAAAATATATTTCAAATGTTAGATTTATACTCACATAATCATACATATCATCATGGCTACATTCCAAATACCAATAAATGTCCTGAAGAATCGTATATTTTGAAGGAAATCGCGACTTTTGTCAACTACAAATTACAATAACAACATTTTTTCGTATAATTTGTAAATAAAGAACTTCCTATGATGTTATGAGCTAAATATTCTTGCAATTTACCGAACGGAGTTCGCAATGTAATTTTACTGTGTTCTGAAAGTGCTTTCCTAAAATTCCGGGGCTTTTTAAACAAAATTTACAACTGTCCAAGCCATAATTAAATTGGAATTTCAACAACGACATCACCTAAACTTGGTTCATCGACGTCACCAAAATTTTCTGTAGGATCCCTCTTCTTTCTTTGAAAAATACATTCAATCACTAATCAAATACAACTTCAAATACGATACATTTCGTGAATTGCTCTAGCCAGTACGTATGTAGCGCAATACCTGTATTAAATCAGCGAAAATTTAATTACTTACAATTTAAAATTGAGCACAGCACAAGCATTTATCAAGAGAGTCCTGTGGTTGAAAGACATAAATATTAAAAGATTCAAAAATCTATAACAATCACAGGTTTAGTAAAAATATTAAAAAAGTAACTCTTACCCACAAAGTAAAATATCGGATATTAGAGCCATAAAGAAAAGTGATATATATTTTGTACCATTAAATTACTGAAGTAAAAATAAAGATTAAAGAAGGATGAGTCGGGGGTTGGGTCCATATGTTGCGTAGAGTCGGGTAGCAAGCAAGAGGTCTGGGAGCTGTTATCTAAAACACGAATGGCGGATTTTTTAGTTACTATTGGTTATTATTGGTTATATTTAAAAATTATTATTCGATGGGCGAAGGAAACAACATGTATTATTTACACTGTCATCGTCAGCCTCTGTAATCGACTGTCAACGGTATCAACGATCATCTATAGTTTAATACCTACTGTCTGTCTGTCACCTGTATTAATCTGTTCTTTAGCTCCTGACACCTACTGTAACCTACCGTAATCCATTGTCATCTGCCCCATCTTTTCTGTCTGCTGCTGTAACTCACCGTCACCTATCGTCATGTACTGTCACCACCTCACCTGTAACCTACTGTCCTCTATTATAGTCGATCTACTATCATCCACTATCACCTTCTGTAACCTTTCGTCATCTAATATCACCTAGTGTAACCTACCATCACCCAGTGTAATCTACCGTGACCTAATGTAACCTACCGTCACCTGATGTAACCTACAGTCACCAACTGTCATGTACTGTGAATTTCATTTTACTGTTACCTACTTACTAAATACTACTGGTCCACCATACCAAAAGAAATTTACTTTCTATGGAGGATCAAGATCTAATGCTACTGTCAGCATTATGACAACAAGAATCTTCCAGGCTGTACAAATACTTTCTTTAATTCCTGCAGTTGATGTGCTGGTAATCATGATAAATCTCCTTGCCAGCTAATTTTTAATTGTTTTTCAGTAAGTTATTTCTTATTAACCATAGTTAATTGATACTATGAAAATTGTTCTATAACATTTTAATCTAAGCACCATGTTGTTATAAACGACAATCTTCGATGGTTCTATAAACACATAGATAGTAAAAACATCTATTTCCCATCTTACACAAACCCTGCATCAACTATTTTTCTTCAACAACTTGCAAGAATATATTCAGCCTGGTAAATGTATTTAAAAATGCGTCGTGAGTGAGTTCCGTATGATTGTTTGTCGTACTGATATGTCTGGTTGTTTGTTAGGGGCCAAAATCATTGGATCAAAAAGAATTTGTTACTGTAGTGCTTTCCATTTGTGCAAAACTTCGTTTGCTTGCGACAAAAAATTTACGGGTTCGTTCTTAGCATATGATACATGTGCAATTGTAGACTAAACTTTTCAATCTACAATCATCCTCTTTTGCATTATATTTCAGCGTCGGCATTCTATGTCGAGCTATCCCATCTTAACCTCAATCTGCCCGAACGTGTAACTGTTATTCTACCTGTGCATATTTCCTTTGTCTGAAACAATGCAGCCAGAGTACCACATACAAGGCGAGAGAAGGCGAGAAGGAACAAGCAAAGAATAATTGTGACAATATGAGAAGGAGAAAGAAAACCATTCAAGAAATCATATTATTCTATTTCGTTGCTAATTAAGGAGTAAAGATTATTTTGTATCTATGAATTGATTGAATTATATTGCTTATATGTAGTGTTCAGGCTTCTTATCTGATCTATGTTGAAGTTCTCGAGTTGTCAACGGTTGACTCCTCATCAAACGCGTTAAAGACGTCAGACAGCACCACGTGTCTTCTTCAAACAAGGTAAAATAACAATCATTTGCGTTTATGTATGCGTTCTGCTTTATCAAAGATTGCAGTTTTGCAGGCCTCATTGTAGCATTACCAAATTGACTCCTCAACAAACGCGTTAAAGACATCAGACAACACCACATGTCTTCTTCAAACAAGGTAAAATAACAATCATTTGCGTTTATGTATGCGTTCCGCTTTATCAAAGATTGCAGTTTTGCGGGCCTCATTGTAGCATTACCAAATTCATGCGAGAAACCAAACAGTCTGAATTGCAAACCATTGTGACTTTCTCTCATCGGAAAATGCAGAATTTTGTGAAAATGGACTTACCGTATGTTAGCATGTCCATGTATGGTATAATTGTGCATAAATGTGCGTTTTACGATGGTAAAAATTACTTTGCGAGTGCCTTTTTGATAAGTTTATAGTTCGATAAATGTATTTGATTAATTTTCCTTGTTGAGAAAGTGCATGACTTCAGTTTAGACAATGGCTTCGCCTATATAAGTGTATAATTGCAAAAACATTTAAAGTCTTGCACTCCGTTATGTATTTCGACATATAACGAGACAATGGAAACAGATAATTTACCCTTAAGGCCAAGGTTACTTTGCCATGAAGGCTATGGTTACTTTGCCATCGAGGCCATGGTTACTTTGCCATCAAGGCCATGGTTACTTTGCCATCAAGGCTATGGTTACTTTGCCATGATATGAGAAACAGTCAGTGAAAACAGTCAATGACGAAGAGTTACGTGGTTAAAGACAGCATCTTTGGATTTAATAGTTTATCACGTGATTATCACGAAAATAGTGCAAACACATCCAATTAATTGTTGTCATGACTATGAATTCAAAAAATTCGTGACTGCACCACTGGACTGCACCTGTTCGAGCTTACTGCGCATCTTCAGCATTATTATCTTATAGTTTGTAACCAAGCGATTTAATTACCCCGAAATCGACGAAAATGATCCAGTTGATCGTTTCCATGACTATGATATTGAAAAATTGGTATAATGGCGCATGCCCAGATGATTTTCTTATAGTTTGTGACTGGAGCAAGTGAGTTACAAAATACGAGTGTTCTGCATTCACTAACGTGTATGTAGTTTTTGTCATCGACTGAGGCGAAATATACGAATTTTGGTGTCATGTTGTAACACTGTGCAAGCAATAGCGAGCATTAAAGTACATGTCCAACAAAATTTTGTAATGCGCAACATCTCTTTTTACCAAAACAGGTTTTTGTCGACATAAACAGATTAGAGAATCCATCTGTACAATTATAAATTATGGAATTTATTTACACTGGCAGATCAAATATTGGCAAAAATACAGTACAACAGCCTATCAAATTGTAAGTTTTTCTCGTAACCAATAACATTTTTATAAAGATTTTCAAATTTAAATTTAGCCGCTATGATTTATTTTGCGAACCCCTACTGGTTTCTGGTTGGGTATATGTGATGTTTAAAATTTGGTAGCTACGGTTTTCTCGCCTCATCTTTTGTTTGATGAAAATACTCAAATTGTCAATGAATGGTTAAATAGTGTAAAAGAAATTTTTTGGTTTTTTTATAATTTCTTTTATGTCTTAGTATAAAATCACAATACATAAAAAGCCGCATTTAATATAATTTGAAAATTTCTTCATGAATCAATAAGCCGAATTTGAAACTCATTACACATCAACATAAAAGTTTTTTCAATAGGTGTTACTATAAAAATCAAACTGAGATAAGTTATTGCATGAAAACAAGTGTTTTGAAAATATATTAGCATTCTTCAAAGGAGCTCTGTACTGCTTTCAAATAATTTCTTTAGGACGATCATCACAATGATTTTCGACGATACATGCGCAATTGAGCACATTAGTTGGAAGAGCCATCTTTAGAAGCTTGATGAAAAGGATTTATAAGTGTTCAGACTGTTAAGTGTTAAACGATCGCTGCACTCATTGCGATCGTCATTTTCACACGGCTTATGTTCATGCAAGAATTTCCTATTGACTTGGAATGTGAATCACATAAACAAGGAATGTGAATCAAATGCAAATTGAAATTCATTTGCTGATCGTTATCTTGTTGAGTTTTACTTGAAACGGAGGTGATTGTACTGTACTTAATTTTTGATGAATCATTGATGAAATTGAAAAAGCCGTAGTTAATCCTCATGCAACGATGAATGATCTCAGCGTAACAGCGTGCATTAGGAAAAATATATGCTTTATTTCCGTTCAATCTTTATCTGTGCTCATATCACCGATAAAATCCTGTTACAGCCAAGCAAAGAAGTAACGACACACGCATTTTACACATGATGACTGCTAAATCAATTAGTGGAATATGCTGTGAATGGGGAAATTGTCTCAAATTTTCTCGTGCTGAGACATTGACATTAAAATCAATAAGTAAAGTGGAAATATTTGACCACTTGCTAGAACATCGTGCAATCTCAGTGATCAAGGAAGATTGAATGGAATTTAGTTTACATAACGTCGCGTCGTGTAAATAACACAAATATCCTTATTAAATCAAACTGCGTGATAATCCATGTCAAATTCCCATGAGTAAATTTTCTCAATTCATAATAATATAGATCATTACGTTAGAAGTGATCCCATGGCGTTGATATCTATCAATTGAGAAAACGCAAGTGGCGATGAATTAGGCAGCGTATTTGTCCTTGTGGATGTTTGTTCACACATTATATTCTCGACAAGAATGTAAATTGAGAATCATCAGCACTGTAAACTCGCTATTGGTATGTAATTATAATAATTTGCGCATAGCCCTGCACTATTAATGTTTTTTGATTTTTTCGTTAATTGTGTACAAAGTGTAAGGTATGCGTGATTTTTTATTTTATATGAATTTTTGTTTTAATTACGTACTGAACAAACATGTCCTCGAGTACATGCTGTTGTAATTGATTTCGTCCTCAATGTTAGCACTTATCTTCGGGGTTTTTTAGGGTTAAAATGTAAACCGAGGGCTTATTCTTGAACTCGGATTTGTTTTAAAAAAAATATTTATCTTGTAACTTTTTAATTTTGCCCAGCCCCTAAGAACTGACGGTTGAATAAAACGTTTGTTTATATAAATAAAGAATTTGCGCTTGTATGTAGTAAATGTATCGGTGTTTGATCTTCACGCATACAGATGTTTGCATTTCAAATCTTTATCTATAACAATTTAGTCTAATCCCTAGTTGTTTGATCATCTAAAGCAATTAAAATCCTGTATTGTATTATGTTGTCTTATCATTTGCTGAAACTGTCTCTTAAAAAATAATCGTGCATGATGATGAAAATGTAAGTCTATAGTTATATGTGAGTGAGTGTTACTAAGTGGTGTCAAATCAACAATGAAGATCATCATCAAAATATTTGCCTTTCTTTATATTTATTTTTTATGATGAGTAGTAAATACCATAGGTTTAAACATATGTCTGTGTGCGTTATTATTGTAGTATGGTCTTTATATAAACTCGCGGAACAACTTCTTTATTGTTCAATTGCTCTCAAGACTCATTTACAGTTAATGGTAATTGGCAGTTAACTTTATTGCGACAAAGATGAGTATAGAGTATTGAATTACTTACAAGATCTATTGTATTCTTGAGAGTGACACCTGAACCTTAGTTTTATGTTTCTTTATACTTTGGAAGATGCACTTACAACATTTGTGATTGTGACTACATTTGAGTATGATTTTGTGGTTTTTCAAGTACGTCTGAATATCTTTATACTGAAAAAATCTTACTTGGATATCATGTAAGATGTTATTTTAATTACGCCACCCATTGCAATATAGACAGTTTACTGAAGAAAAGCGTCTCTTTTTGATTGTCTGATTTGATTACGAGTCGGTATAAAACATACATTATCTCAGTGGGATTTATTACTGAATGTTACTATTCGTACACCTATCTTGACAGAGGGGTTTATATATTGTTTGCTGAATAAGATGTCTTAAGTCGTCGAAGAAAAAATTAAATTATTGGTTTGATTTTTGCCTTGAAAGTCAATTGTAAAATTAATGCCCTCAAGCATTTGCTATAGAAAACAGATTGCTGTGATAATTCTTCCTATCTAGCTAAGTTACGCGGTTTTCAAAAATAGAAGAATCTTCATGATCTGCTACTCTGCTTGTGTATCTGCTAGATTTCTTACTCCATTTATTCGGTATTGTACTGATAGTCATTGAAAACTTCATGCATGCTCTCAAATTTTTGATAACTTCTACTTGTTTTGCGTTTCTAGGTAGTTTGTGTTGCTTCGTGTGAGTTGAACAAGATGTTTCTGTTGGTGATGTTATCTATTTTTGTCAGAACACAATCAATATCTCGACAAGGTACACGAGCTTCTCTTCACTCTTAGATGTAGAACATATGTACAAAACTCGTTAACTCGTGTTTATAATTGTCATTCACACATGGGATAAAGTTCAGGCGTATAAGAAAATGTTTTTTTTTATTTTTGGAATTCCCTCTAATTTTTCCTCTGAAACTTTGATGAAATTCTTAGCTTACGAACACGCAAGTGAGATAAAAAGTTCCATTATACCAAACAGATTACAGAACTTGATGTGCAGTAAATCTTTACTACTTAATTTTATGTAAAATTAAAAACAATGACAAAGTCAAAAGTTCAAAAGGGTGCACCCTATTATACACCTTTGATCGACAACACGTAAGAAACTATACATAATTATGATGAATTTATATTAAAGTACCTGTTGCTCTTCAGAGTACGAGACTTATCACGATCGCGCATTGTGAGACACTATGCTCATTGCATTTTTTTTACTCATTTTTGACCGCTCTTCGTTTAGTCATAAAAACTGTTCATCCACCAGGATTGCACATTAACAGTTTCCTTAAAGTTGTTTTTTCGTTATTTTTGTAATGGAGAAAATATCATCACTCTCTATCTAAAAATGTAAGAAAATAAAGAAAAATTTATTTCTTAGATTTTTTGTTTGAAAATCTTTCACTCAATGTATCTATCTGCAGGAGATTGTTTGTCACCAATAGCGATAAACGCTAATTCCCCTTGAGATTTATCATTTCTTTAGTGTATTGTACTTCGTTGTCTTTCGAACCTCTCATAAACCTATAGTGATGTAGGTAAATATCCTCAAATGCCCCACATTTGTTCATTTTCAGCACAAGAAAATTTTATTTCATTATTTGTTGCTGGTCTGTGCCCTTATTTATGAAGCTTTTCAACTATAGTTGTGTTTGATGCAAAGTATCCCTCGACTATAGACAACTTTTATTAAGATGATTTGCTCTCTAAGAATATTGTATCCCTCGTATTTCTAATCGTATAGCGCGAGAACCGACAAACTTAACTGCATGATAAAAATATCAAATGCATTTTACATAATCATATCTGAATGAGTGACTATAGCCTAATCAAATTAAATGCGTATATTCAGCTCAAAATAAAACTTATTAATTTTTTGTAGAAAGAGCATTTTTTGTGGGAAGAGCTTTGAAAGTGGTACCTGCTGGTGGTTACTTTCGGCAAAATGAACAAGTTACATTGTCATGTAATAGTACAGACGAACATCATCAGCCTTTTCCTGTTATTTGGTTCAAGAATAATTTAATTATTGCCTCAAATGGATCTAATGTCATCATTGATGATTATAGATCTTTGACAATTATAAAGTTTCAGCAAGAAGATGAAGGCTTTTATCATTGTGAAACTCACCAAGAAAAGTTTTATACAGCCCAGTTGTTCCTGTCATATACAGCAGTTAGTAATTATACTTCTTTCAAAATTGAACGATTTCATATATGTTAAAATAAACGTTAAGGCATAAATCTACCAATTGAGAAAGAAGATTTTCCGTTGTTTGACTTTGTTTGTCTGTTGAGTGTATCATTTATGTATTATTGTTTCCAAGATTATCTTTAGCAAGATTATTTCTTGTGGAAAAGTAATCATTTTATAACATACTGAATATGTATTTGAATATTGAACTTGTGTAGAATTTAATTTTCTCCACTATTTATAGTACCGCTTTATTTCGTTCAACATCCAGTCAACGTAACTATACAACGTGGTTCTGTTGCGTCTTTTTATTGTTTTGCTGATGGAAGTCCCAAACCTTCAATAACATGGTTGAAAGACAGCGAACCCTTGTTATCAGGACAGAATTTTGGTAAAATTCAAGTTTTGGAAGATGGAACATTGGAAATTGGGAATGTTCAACTACAAGACGAAGGATTGTACACGTGTGTTGCGAGAAATAGCATGAATGAATCACGTGAGAGCCATGCAAGTCTTACTGTAATGTATCCACCAAGCATTTTAAACATAAGCAGTAACATTTCAGTGGTAATAGACGCCCCACTTTCTGTTGAATGCAAAGTTAAAGGCTATCCTGAGCCCACGATCACTTGGATTGTAAAAAGTGATATAGACCGTGGGTTTGTTCAGACAGTTACACATGATGGAGTACGTCGATTGTATATTCCTAAAGTATCAGATCATCATCACGGAAAAGTTGTTTGTGAGGCGAAGAATAAACTTGGGATTGCGAAAAAAGAATTGTTTTTAGACGTTCAAAGTAAGTTTTGCTAATTTCAAATCATCGAAAATTAAACTTTTGTTTAGTGCCTTTGTTCATTTATGTTCATTGAACATCGTGGATGATTAGGACGAAAGTGCAATGTGAAAACTGAGTTCAGTTGTGACTACATTGGTAAGAGAACCATCTGTATTCCCAACGTTTGGGTTTGTGATATGGATAATGACTGTTCTGATGGTTCTGATGAATTGAATTGTGGTAAGTTTCCAACATGAAGAAGCTTTTGCTTTAGTTCATCTATTACTCGTATTTGTGTTTACAAAATTTACATTGTTACTATAATTAAAAGTTGTGATTTTATATCTATACGGCAATAAATTGATTGAACTTTATATCTTCAACATCTTTTTCACAATTATAGTGGACCTACAGCAATGTTCATCATTGTACGACTTTCCCTGCAGTAATGGACGTTGTATTCCTTGGAGTTTGACGTGTGATGGTGATAATGATTGTGGAGATAATACTGATGAACATAAAGATTCATGTATGTAGATGGTCTTCTCTAGATGATGATTAAGTATATAATGAAATTCCATATATTTCTCGCTCATCTTATATACATAGTAAATGTATTATTGCTATACTAAAATTGTTGTGCGTCTTGACATGACAAGAATCATGACAGAGATCCTGCTCAATACAAATTTTACCTTATGACGCGCTCAGTATAGATGTGTTCCATAAATTAAGTGTTCTTATTCAAAAACCTTTGAACGCTCTGTAAAAGATTTTATTTGTATGAAATGTTCGTCGTTTTTTCTTACTAAAACATTGTTTGAAAATAGTGCCATCAATATACATGAAACAGCGCAGTCCACAAACTCCCCATTTGTCTACCTTTTGTAAATAATTAATCATTCTAAGTTAAAGTTTACATTTCTTTTGCAGGTTTTCACAAATGCAAAACATCAGTCTTTTTTACTTGCCGCAATTGGAAATGTATTCCAAAGATATGGCGTTGTGATCAACATGATGACTGTGGGGATAGCAGTGACGAAATGGGATGTGACAGTACGTTATGGGCAATATTTGTATATCGTTTCATTGGGCCATATTTTCTATAATGTGTGAATAATCAACAGTAAATATTGTATTTGATTTTTTTTACTTTAGAAATAAAAAAATCCTGTGCGACATCCGAATTTCAATGTGTAAAAAGTAAGAAATGCGTCAAGAAATCGTGGGTTTGTGATAAAGAAAAAGATTGCTCCGATGGCTCAGATGAAAATAACTGTGGTAATGTTTTCATCTATTTCATTGCTTAAAGTGGCTTTGAAATTTTTTTTAAGTGAAGTCGAACTTCCTGTAAGCAACAACCTGCAAACTTTCGCCTCGAATTGTATTTTTGTATGGGAACATTTTCAAATACACATTTCTTTTTTTTCTCGTGCTTAATGAAAATCAACGAGAGCTCCTTTGTTCTTTTATTCTCTATAGCAATAATTAAGGCATTGCAAAATAATTGCTCAACTGGTTGTTTATGAGAAAGCGTGTATAAACTATCTTCTGTACATAAATCATTCATAAAATATTTATCATGTATTTGATTAATGTTGTATGTGTGGTGTAATGGAAAAATAACATAACCTGATGATGTTGAGTGAATTTTTTTTAGAACTTCCTCAATCACATTATTTTACTTACGTATTATAGAATATGCCGCTTGTGGAGCTGATTCATTAAAGTTTCCTTGTAGTAATGGTGAATGTATTCCGTTGCCATGGAAATGTGACGGTGAATACGATTGTACTGACAGATCTGATGAAAATGAATGCAAAGGTTGAAATATATATTTTATGTCATTATTTTTATTTTTGTAATTTGAAACTTCGACAAAAAATATTTTGCTGTGAATATAATTGAAGGGTCAAAGGCAATCCTTTTTCGGAAAAAATAATGAAAAGATAGATTTCGTGTGTATAATAAATAATTGATTTATTTTTTTCAGAAAAACCATCTATTGATGGTGAAGTTATGACGAGTAAATGTAGTAAAAATGACCACAAATGTGATGGTGTATGGTGTATTCATAGTTCATGGTTGTGTGATGGTGAAAGAGATTGTCGTGATGGTTCTGATGAAAGAAATTGTGGTAACCTTTCTCTTATGTATTTACCTACTGGTTTCTTCAAATGATGTCTCTATGTATAATGGCTTGTTGTACAATTGTCTTGTATATGTTTTTAGCATTTTCCAATCTCTTTATGCAGCGAAAATTTTTGTCGTAAAGCCAAGATTTCAGTCTTCTAAACATTAGAATATATATTATCTCTAGGTAATTCACTTGTATCTCGTTCACGATGTCAGCAAGATGAACACGAATGCGATGAAAAATGTATCGCAGGGAATAAGATATGTGATGGTACTACAGATTGTCTTGATCTATCTGATGAGAAATTTTGTAAAGGTGATAAAGATTAAACTATACATTGTTATATAGACATCAGGACACGTACAATTTATAATATTTGTCTATCTAGAATTGAAAATTGGCTTGGAAAATTAGTTCGAAATTTTGTCACAAGTTTGAATATTTTGTTGGCATTCATTTTAAACACTCAAAGTTTTCTTGAATGCAATGTTGCTTTTTTATGTAAGATCTCTAACAAATTGTGTGAGATTTAATAAAAAAAAACTCCATTTTGAGTCAACGAATCGAAGTAAAGACTCAACACCTGCGTCACGAAGAAACAATTATGCAAACAATCTGCATGTTATTTCATAAAATTTTTCTGTTAACTTCTTACAACTTTACATGTCATTAATGTTTTTTACGTTCTAGAATATATTCTCTACAGTTCTCAGACCAGCATAAACAAGCTCGATCTACAGAGCTATGTTTCAACTGTTCTCATCAGTGAACTATCAAATGCTGTGGCAATTGATATTGATATCGAACAGGATATGGTATATTGGACTGATATAAACCAAGACAAAATACAACGTGCAAATATTGGAACACATAATCAATCATTGGAGAATGTAATTCAGTATAATTTGGAAAGTCCCGAAGGAATTGCCGTTGACTGGATAGGGAAAAAATTGTACTGGACTGATAGAATTCCCGGAAAGATTGAAGTGTCTGAATTAAATGGAAGAAACAGAGCAATTTTGATCAGTGAAAATGTTCATCGACCAAGGGCTATTGTTGTTCATCCTAAAGACAGGTACATATGTATACATGTGAATCAAGAAAATGTTCTGAGTACTTTATTGTTGTTCATCCTAAAGACAGGTACATATGTATACATGTGAATCAAGAAAATGGTCTGAGTACTTTATGTCTTTACCACATAATATATGTTTTCAACTTCTGCCAAAGTTTGACATTTTCGTGAAAAATTATTTATTTTGATCTACACTTTATTTTAACGAAGCGGGTTAAACTAATCACAACAAAATTTCGCAACAAAAAGACTTCGATAATGTGTAGACTTTGTTGTTTATAGGACTTTGTTGTGTATTGGACTTTGTTGTTTATAGGACTTTGTTGTGTATTGGACTTTGTTGTTTATAGGACTTTGTTGTTTATAGGACTTTGTTGTTTATAGGAATTTGTTGTTTATAGGACTTTGTTGTTTATAGGACTTTGTTATTTATAGGACTTTGTTGTTTATAGGACTTTGTTGTTTATAGGACTTTGCTGTTTATAGGACTTTGTTGTTTATAGGACTTTGTTGTTTATAGGACTTTGTTGTTTATAGGACTTTGTTGTTTATAGGACTTTGTTGTTTGTAGAACCTTGTTTTGGACTGAGTGGGGGAAAGTCGCTCAAATCGAGCGATGTGGAATGAATGGTGATGCAAAGACTCGTGTTGTTTTAGTCAAGGACAACATTTACTGGCCTAATGGAATAGCCTTGGATTATCAAACTGAAAGACTATGGTGGGTGGATGCTAAAATAGCAAAAATTGAAAGCGTGAATTTGGATGGAACAAATAGAAGAACGGAACTGGACGGAAACGATAGAGATCTTGGTCATCCATTTTCTTTGGATGTCTTTGGTGAGGGTATATTTTGGAGCGAATGGCGACAAAATTTCCTTTATCGTAGCACGAAAAAAGATTTAGACAAGATAGCGATCATGAAACGTTTAAAAAATATGATTCCTATGGATATAAAAGTTGTTCATCCACATCAACAAATAAAAGGTATTTACATTTTCATATTTGTAATTGTGCTGTCAATTGTTGATGTTGTCTGTTTTCATGAATGTCTAACTATAAATTTCTAAGGAAAATTTTGAACAATTTTTTGTTATAACGATTGTATATTGATGTTTTAGAACTCAATCCATGTGGTTTAAATAACGGTCAATGTAGTCATTTATGCTTGCTATCTCCTAATAAAGAGCAACAGTTTTCTTGTTTCTGTCCTACTGGTATGAGACTATGGAAAGATAATAAAACATGTACCATAGAAGGTATGAGATAAAGCAATTGTTCTTATCGAAAATTGTATTAACATTTGACTAGAATGGCAGACTTATCAACTAATTGGAGTAGATGACGAGTGTAGACTGTGTTCACTTAATCAAACAGAAAGATTAAATGAACGAACGAAGAGTCTTACCCAGAATTTTCATAACTATAAGGGACAAAGAAAATTGTTAATCATCTGAATACAGTTCGATATTTTTTTTATTTATTTATTGCCTATGAATTTCTGCTCATTGATTCATTATGGAATTCATTTTGTCAGTATTAAACTTTACCTAATCGATTTATTTTTCAGATAGCCCACCCTACATTTTATTTGCAAATGGTGAAGGAATATTTTATTCGGACATTAATCTACAACATATAAGTCCTGTATTAGCAGGACTTGCTGGAGGTGTTGCTGCAATTGATATTGATGTAAAGAACCAGTATCTTTATTGGTCTAATGTAGTTAACGACACCATAGAGCGCGTATCGTTGAGTCATATCGGCGCTGTAGAAACTGTCATAAAAGATTATCTTGATTTAGTCGACGGAATTGCTTTTGATTGGATGAATAGGAAATTATATTGGACAGATGGTGGAAGAAAAGTTATAGAGGTTGCTGATCCTGAAGTGAAGAACTCTAGATTAACATTGATAGACGAAAATCTCAGTAAACCAAGGGCAATTGTATTGCATCCTAAGAGTAGGTAAGAACAAGCGAGGTGGAAACGTTTGAAAAACTAAAATAAATAGGAAATTTAATGAGAACTGTAAAATTTAGTAAGAACATCGACAAGTAAAAATGTCGATGCTGTTGAAAGAACATTTGTAGCAGTTTATTAACTTATCTTAATGTGATAGTAAAATTTGCTTCGATTACAAACTAACATTTCTTTAGATACATGTACTGGAGCGACTGGGGCTCAAATCCTCAGATTGAACGATGTGGCATGAATGGAGACTTAAAAACACGAAAGGTTGTTGTCAAAGGTATGTTTGGATATCCCAATGGATTGGCCATCGACTACCGAGAAAATAAACTTTGGTGGGCGGACGCCATGTTGGATAAGATTGAAACGTCAAATTTGGATGGTTCGCTGAGAAGAATTGTTTTGGTTGAGGAATCTATCCATCCATTTGGTTTGGTTGTTTATAACAATTCTGTTTTATGGACTGATTGGGTGGGAAATAAAATATATAAAGCTGATAAATTGCTGGGAAAAATCTACTTCTCTAAAGATGTTGGATCATACACACCAACTGGAATTCGAGTTGTTTACAAGAATATGCAACCCAAAGGTAGTAAACGACTATACTGTTTATGGCGTTCCTATACCTTACAAAGTTAAAAATTTGTACATTTTTTTTCCAAATTCTAACCGCTCAAATTCTTTACAGAGTCAAATCCATGTGGACGAAAAAAGAAAGGTTGCAGTCATCTCTGTTTGTTGAATCCACAACTGCCATATTACAGTTGTCGTTGTCCTAATGGCATGTTTATGCATTCAGACAATAAAACATGTCACAGTTTTGGATGATGTCATCATTGACATAGGTGTATTGGCAGTTAAACTATTGGGGGGATTATTTAATAAAGTAGTTTCAACATACTAATCCAGACATTTGCTTTATTAACCATGATTTAACTTTTGTAATTTGTTCATTAGACAAAATTTATTGAAAGCATAATTCCCAACAAAATTTTATAAATTAACACAAGCATTATTATAAAACAAAACAGAATAACTGTTTTTATCAAGACACTATATTGGCCTCCATTTATGATAATTTTAAGTAAGAATACTAAAAGCAGTAAAACACAAAAGTAATGTCTGTTTTACTATACAAGACTTAACTTAGACAAGACTACGGTATGATCTACGCTATGATATATACGAGTTAAACCCTTGCAAAACTATCCTCTTGCTTTGTTTTATTGCTGTTTTCCACGATTTGTAAACAACAAAAACAATAAAGCAAATAAACGATAAACGAAAGCCATGATAACAATCATTCCCAAACAGAAAGAATAGTTTCCATCTAAACTGTAATGATCTTGAAAAGCGATGCGGTCACGTATTGGACGATCAACGTCAGGATAACGTAATGCCTCCTTTTCAAACAGGGCTTCGACAAACCAACGGATAAATGAAAGGTTGTAAGCAAGTGGTCCAAAAAATGTTAATTTGTCGAGCTTGCACAGAGTAGGAGAAGAACCTGAAAATATATAAATGAAACATGGTTGTGTAACCATAATTTTATTTGGATTATTTTTTTTAAAATTCGTTCTTTTATGAAAAACATAGCTGGCGTTGCATACAGTTATTAATGAATGACGATATGATGAAGTGGTCGTTGTCAGACTTATATCTTATATATTATAGACTTATAAATTTATGAACAAATGATTATACACAACCTACCAGACAACATAGCCATAACTAATACAACAACAACAGATGCCATTTGAGAACTCTTAGGATTAAATATTGTGGATATTGCATAACCAATTCCGGAGCAGCAAAACTGAGCACAAAATACAGCTATGTAATGCGAAACGAAATAAGCTGAAAAGTAAAAATGAGGGAAGATTTAATTGACAGAAACATGTTTTCATTACTAGAAATTATTTTGATGAATTATATGATAAAAAAAATTTCTTCACTTTCTACTCACATCTAGGCGAAGTTAAAGTATACAGAAAGCTCAGGTAGACCAATGGCATAATCAATAAGATGGAATTTGAGCAAAGTTTACAGCAAAAAATAGCTAAACCGATTTACACCAGCAGCACTTTCTCTAAAGATAAAATACAAAATAAAAGCCTAGATGTTAATATTTCCTACACTCCGAAACACCGATCATACTTAGCAACAGATTCGTGCAGTGCTTGTTTTAAAAGCCTTACAACCCAAGAAAATTCTGTTCGTTAAAGGGAAAAGTTAAGGAACATTACAACCAAGTCACTTGATAACAATTGTGACCAACATAAATAAAAGTGCTCATGCTGTTCGCTTCAAAAGTCCGTGATCACGAGACAACGTAGAAAAGCATATATTTTATAACAATTGCTAATTTAAAAGATGAAAGTTAAAAACGATTTTTGCAAATTTCTTTAAAGATGAAATCACAATTAGATATATTAAACTCCGCAAAATAAAACAGATTTAGAAAAAGAATCCTTAAATTACAAAGATGAAAAAGTGTGATGATTTTTGTAGGTATGTTACTGCGATGAAAAGTCCATTAAAAAAATTAAAAGATCCTTTGACATCAAATTATAAAAGATTGCGTATATATAAAACGTAAATAATATGTCAATCTCAGAATATGTCACAACCTCATACGTAAATCAAAGTTTTGTTCATAATTTATTGTCCCTTCGAAGAACGATAAGCAAACTTACATACAGATGTATATTTTTATCAATATCTATATGTTTGCACTAAATGTCACGTCTTAAATAATATATTTCAGTAATTATATAGCATTTACTAATTTCACGTCTGAATTTCTTTTAAAAAAATGCCCGTCAGCCCTTGTTCTAGAACTAATATCGTGTGTCGGAGTGTAAAGTTGAAAAATAAATAAATTCAAGATCAGTCATCTTTTCATAGCTACCTCCAAAATGTAGTTCGGTGATTTCCAAAACATCTCAGAGATGCTAACATTGTCGTCAAACCAATAGCCATTCCACTCATTCTTGTCAAACCAGTAAACTTTTCTAAAGTTACCTTTATTGAATGTTCAAAAATAAAACTTGATGGTTAAATAAAAATTACCTAATAAAACTTAATTTTGCAATATTAGCTATTTGTCAATTTAGAAATAATTTTGCTTGATGGTCTTCAATTTAGAAATATTTTACCTCAAGATAAAGAGCTCCAAGAACAGCCCCAGCAAAGAAAACAAGAAATGTATCAATTAACAAAGTTTTCCTTGATCGATATTGAAGAATAAATTCTCTTTGAGTGAATATGAGGAACTGAACGAACGGGTTAGGAAGTACACGTTTTTTTACTGAAATAAAAAAAAAACAAATATCAAACATTTATGAGCAGCAAAGATCAAATTAGGGAAAATCAGATCAAAGATATTTTGCTTTACTTCTTTTATTATTACTCTTTACCTTTAGTTTTGGGTTGTTCTTCGTCATGACTGGAGATTATAGTACTTTGTAAGTGGTAATTCCAAGCCCTAAATAGATCAATATTTTCATTTTCAGATGACTTCTCTCGGCCATCAATCACATCCATATAAAATTCAGCGGGATTAACATTTGCAGGTGTTTCAAATCCGAGGTTTGAAAAGTATATCTTTGCGTCAGGTACGTTGCCTTGATAAACTGTTTTACCGCCAGGACCAAGAAGCAAAATGTTGTGAAACATTTCTGAAAATTGATAAATGCAGATGATAAAGAACTATGAGCGTTTGTGATGAGCATGGATAAAGCTATTTTCTGCTTGATTTGAAATGGAATTCTCAAATGGTCGTCTTATTTTTCTTAAATAGTCAACAAATTAAATACAATTGTCATATGGCATGACGAACCATTTAAATACTTACGAAATATTTCAAAACGAGGTTGATGTATGACGCAAAACACCGTCAATTTTCCTTGCTCAGCTACTTTTCGTAGTGATCTCAACACAGACAAACTTGATGTACTGTCTAAACCACTAAAGAAATGGGAAAAAGCAAGAATTCATAGGATTGAATCAAAATTTTTCATTATATACAATAAAGTTTGAATGTTAAATACCTCGTAGGTTCATCCAAAAAAAGCAAAGTTGGATCAGCAATCAATTCCATTCCAATGTTTACTTTTTCGTTGTCCTCCAGAAATTCCTCTTGTTTCCTCAATTTATAAGAAAAAGTATTTTTACCCACTACAAAATCGTGGTGGTTTGAATGCAGCATGGTTTTTCAAAAGATTACCTTGTCCCCAATAATCGAGTCAGCAACGTTAGAAATTTCAAGATTGGTCAATATCTATACATGTTAAGGAAAAAGTAAAATGATATAGCAATAATATATAATTTACCTTGAATGTCACAAAAGTATGGATTTTTATGCAATAGTGATGTCAAGTTAAAGGACTATATACGTTCATTTAGATTTGATGTTGTATATTTCATCAATAACTTAAAATTTTCGTGATGGATTGACTGTACAAAAATTACCTCGTCTACTTTGGAGTCGATGGTTTTTTTCTTAGTTTCAGTTGGTAAACGTAACATTGCTTGGTAATATAAAACTTCTTTAACTTTTAGATTCCTGTGCATCGTATCTTCCTGTTAAAAAAACATCTTTCATTGCCAAAACTATAATTTTTCTTTTTCGATTTGGAAGCTAAAATTATTATACATCTTTTTATATCTGCAACTGCGAGCTCTTTCAGGCTCAATTCGACTAGTTTCTTACCTAATCTATTCTTCTACCTCTATCTAGTTTCCTTATCACACACCCACACCTTATCATGTTGCATTTGAATCATTACAAACAATTATAATAAATAATCAAACGTCATTTAACCATGTATAAATAAAGAAATTAAAAACAAAATAACCTGAGGAACAAATCCTGTTATAGATCTAAATTCGTTTATTCCTGTTACAGCTTCACCGTTGAATAATATTTTTCCAGTTCTTTTCTAGAACACAAATCAAAATAATGAAGTTAATTCTATTGAAATATTTCAGTTTTTAGTTTTCAATGCATCAAAATGAATATCATAATTTGGAAAATGAACTATTTTATCATACCCCGTAATAAGCTTTACCACTCAACGTGTTAAGGAGAGTCGTTTTACCGGCTCCTGATGGTCCCATTACAGCAGTTACCTCTCCTGAGCGTATATGACCTGTGACTCCTTGTAGTACAACCTTTTTGTTTCCCTGGAAAAGAAAGAATTAAAGCTTATTCTTGGAAAATCTTCAGAAGTTGTGCGCTTCTCCTGAAGTAACCTACACTCCATCGTTTTACTATCAAATATTTTGATGGCCAAGATGTCATTGCAAATGTACATACATTAGATATAAATTAAGATATTGAATATTCAAATTGAGAATATCAAGTTGTTCAATTGCAGGAAAATTCAATTAAAATTAAGCTCTACGAAATTGCAGCAATAAAAAACGTAGATTATAGGTGCTTGACAATGGTTGGAGTTGTACAAGTTGCATGCTTCGTGCATAAATCCGTATATAAATGAACACAATAAATTTTTATGAGCTTTGCTTGCTCAGTGCTCACATTTGTTTAAATTTTGAAGCAAATTTTTGGTTGTGGTCACATTTTACTCGACATTATTAAAGGGAAAAATACTTCTACAGTTAAGTTATTTTTGACAAAGCTGACGTTGAAAATATTGCCAAGTTTTTTAAACTTCTGATGTGAAAGTAGCTCCAATTTTAGTAATGAAATTTCCTGGAAAAAATTGTGAAAATATGGTTTACGCCATCTTAGTTTTTTGGGAACTTAAATTGGCTTTGGCCTCATCAAGGTTTGGACAGTCAGATGAAGATGAGCAAAACTAAATCGATTTCAATTTACAAATTACGAAGATCTTGTTTCGTTATACATCAAAACTTAGTTATATTCTCATGTTCACAAAATTAATCAATAAACTATAAATGCATCATTTTTATTATATATTCCATCACGAACCAAATAACAACACTTACAGATTTTAAAGTCAGGCCCAATTCATCAAAGCTTATGTTGATTTTGTATCTTTGTGCTCCCATAATGGCTTCACTTTCAATCTCTGCATCATCACTAGGGATTATCCTCATACGACTTCTTTCTTCCTTTTTCAGACACGAATCGTAGCAGGGTTTAATCTTTTGCCATATTTGATAAATCACCAATAGAATTGTCAACGTTAGTACGATCAAAAGAATTATTAATGGAGCAATGAAGTTGATGATCGGTGCAGAGCTTTTCTTTTTACATCTTGTAAGCCACTGAAAAATGTAAGAAAAAAATATATGGCTTAGTATTTATCGTTCAAACAAGCATCAAAAACAACTACCAGGATTGGATACATGAAGACATCGTTGGACGCATTGGGAATTTGTGATTGAGTTACTAAGTTTTTTGATAAATATTTCAAAAATTTTGCATAGCTTTTGACTGGTTTGACTCCTTTGTCTTTTAATAATTTTTTAGTTTCCAGCAACAAACTGTAGCAAGATGTTATGAATTGTTGAAATCATCTCCACATTATGTTGATGCAACTATGTTTCAAGCAATACCGATTACAGATTAATAAAAATTATACTTGCCGGGCAAGGATAAGACGCAGTACTACCTGGACCACAATAGTACCCAGACTCACATGGTTCTTTAACATTCGGTGCAAGACAATAGTAGCCTCCAGGACAAGGTTTAGGTATGTCAGTACCACCACATAAACAATTCTTATCTTCAAGGCCGTTACATTTTCTTGCAGAAGAGTTCACTATTAGTGGATGTTCATTATTACCACAGCACACACCAAAACCACCACATCGGATATTACCCTATCGATTGTGACATAAGGAAAACATTTAGTTGTTAATATTTCGATTTTCGAAATTTAATAGCGAGTGAGGATAAATATCTCATAAATGCTATAAGCTAACTGAAGCCAACAACGATATACCTACCCTTTCAAGCTTCTTTTCCTTTGGTACACAGTAAGCTCCTGATGGACACGGTATAAGACAGTATAGTTCAGCTGGACAGAAGAATCCTAAATTGTCAAACTGATTTTCAACAAAAAATCTGCTGGTTTTTGTAAGGATTAATGTTGCAATATTTATTTAGAATTTAACTTTGCATTGAAAAATCTTAACAGAAAACCAAACAACCAATAATTTTAGTATCAAATCACACATCACTGATTTTATGAATCATATAAGTATTGTCCGATGCTAAATTTTGAAACATTTGCCAACCTGAAGGACAAGGTTTGGGTTGAGGATTTGGTTCACTTAGATTCAAGTAAAATCCACCTGCACAAGCTTGAGTACGCCAACTATGAACACAATCTTTTTTAGGATCAAACTGAGCACGATACGAAACGGATGTATTTAGCTGATTATCAATGATTTTAGTGTTATTGAAGCTCGTGGGTTTTTGATTTCACACAAGATTGTATTACTTCATTTTCACCAGCAACTGGACAACATTGATGTGTATATTCCGGAGGACAACAACCACCTGGTGGAGGTCGAGGATTTTCTACATAATACCATCATACAGTTGTATAAGGGGAAAGTTAAAGTTTTTTTTACATATGTAAACATCATATAGTTTGCATCATGCCAGACAAAAGGTCAGGATAGTGGGTGTTTTGACTTGTGGTTATCATATTGTTTCTCCCTGTCACAAACGATTAAATGTATGTTATATAACGTAAAAGATTGTGCTAAGCAATCTTCATGAGCCTTTGCAAAATATTTTTGATGTACAGTCAATAATAGTAACTTTTTTAAACAAAGTTAACAAAAATTTACAACTTGGACTATTGTTCTCGTTATGATCGAAAATCGAATCGTCTTTACTATGCAGATGTAAACTTTTCCATGTGATGATTAATCAACAATCACTTAAGGAAATGGCAGACAAACTGCACATAAATAGGTGCATTCTCATATCACACATGTATGTAAAACAACACAACAAGTTGAAACGAATGGAGCTTCAGCCTTCAGTCAATATCAAACGAGCAATGCTTGACCTAAGCCTGTAAATCTAGGATAGTTTGAAAGGCTATAATTGTTTAAATGAATTTTCACAACAATTGGAAAATGGCTGGGAATAAAAATATCGCTTTTTACTATTGTTAATTATTCACCAAATGTACATGAAGTACATGTACAGGTCAAACAATAAAACTTTTAAAGATATATTTAACATGAAATTTTTATACAATTTACAGCAACATATTTTGAGTTTTGCTCATTTAGTCTTGTTGTGTCTATGTTAGCTTTTGTTAATTTTTTTAGCTGTTTTTTTTAAAACAATATCTTGGTTTTATAAAAATGAGCTGGCCATAATAGCATAGAATTCTGGACTTTTTGCAACATTACAGCTATTTGTAATATTTGTAAATTGGTTTAATTTGCAAATTATCATATTTTTAATCGTAATTTTAATCAATGACTACTGCATTTCAGTGTTTGCATTACGAAGTTTAGTTCCAAAATTACGATGTTTAAAATGATAAGTGGGATTATTCAATCTGATTGTTGACAGCAACTGCAAACTCAAATGGCTGTTTTAACATCTGTCGTCTGAAAATTCATTGACCAAGTAAGAAAATTATAGTGAAATATCTGTAATCTGATTGGTTGAGTAGCTGTGAACACTCAAACGTTTAACAACATCTCTCATTTTCAAAAGGTGACTTGAAGGAGCAAATATACGTTTAAATCGTGATAACTTAATTACAATGGGGTAATGAAATCTATAATAAGTGAACTACAAAAGAATTTCTTTCGACAATCACTCAAAATATACTCGTAAAGCGAATTCCAAATTTACAAGCACTACAGGCAAATTTCAGAAAAGTTGTTACTAAGAAATTGGCTTTGTGACTCAAAAAGAATGCATTTTCTGTTGCATTGTTTATTATAGTCATCTTCATTAAAGCAGACTGCTTTAACATTTGAATATTTCTTCTTTGTAAGAAGCATGGAACAAAATCGCACATGATGATACAAGACCTGAAGATACGGTTTTCAGTGTACAATGTTCATGACAAACTAACGTAAAGATTCACGTCATAACGAAAACAAAACAAAATTTAAAATAACAGAACTGTTTTATAGTTAACCAAGACTTGTTTACATGATGAATTCGCATTTAATAAATTAGGCTATTAAACAAAAAGCACAAACATGATTCTTTTTAAGCTACTGAAGCGAAGAAAACGAAAGAAGAAGTTTATTCTCCCAATTCAAATAATTTATTGATTGTCTTGATAAATAATAGAATGTTTTAAAAAATATAACTTTTTAATGCAGGTTATGAGGCATGATGTTTTACCAACAACAATTGAGTGTAATTGTTTAATGGACAATGTCATTGAAATTTGTTGATGTTAGTTGTGATAACTGAACTGCTATATCATCGTGGTTAAGAGTTAAGTCAATATAATAATGTGAAAGAAAATTGGACAGACTTATGATTGCATCTGTTATGTCTGGTCATCTCAATGTGTTCAAGCTCAAGTTCAGCAATTATCCTTAATCACTGTGCTGCCCAAGACTAAATCTAATTATGTCAAGCTTCCTCCATCTGTGATTTTCTTTGTTAATATAGTGCTTTCTGCAAAGAATTCAAAAAAAGCTTCTAAATAGCTTGAGTTTTAGTCCTGGTGCAGTGGTATGCTCATGTCATCAATGTCTTGCATTCTAACTAAGAAACTGATAGACATTTTGAAAATCTTACTGACAAATAGGTTTGATGACGTTAAGTTTACTGGTTTACTTTAAATGGCTTCTTGTATGTTTCTTAATACATGTTTTGAAATTGAGCACATATACTTTATTGTATCTTGCAAGAAAGGACACTGACTTATTATGGAATAGTAGGTTGACATTGGTTTGTTGCTTTCTGGACATAATACAGAATTTTCAAGTCAATTGTAATATCGACATTCTAACCTGAGGATTTTATCATAAATTGTTCACTTTGCCAATTTCAGTTTATACATGACAACGTGGAAAATAAACATATACAAATTTTTGAACGGAATCAACAGATTTAGGATGGTAGGTAACTATCAGAAAAGATAAATCATTAAAGGATTTATGGTGAATGACATAAATGAGTTAGAATTTGTTTTATTTACAGAATAAAGCTTTCATCGATTCATGCGATAATTAGAAACAAAGGAGTTCCATTATCAAAACTATTGAGTTTTCATCTGATATATATTTAGCGATTTGAACCACAATGCTACAGGTAGACTACAATGTCTATAAACGTTAAAAATTATATGAGATAAAATGCGCCAAAATGTTTGTGCAATGTCCATTCCAAAGACATACTGTCAGAGAAACGAAACACATTACAGTGAGGTAGTGAAGTTTTGATGAGAAGATTTTCAGAAAAAGGATTCATATATGGCTGATAGCAAGCTGATGATGTCTTCTTCAATGATCAAATTTTGAACTACTGCAGCTTGCGTCTTTCAAGAAATGTCAATAATTTGACATGCAGATGGCAAAAGATAACCTCCGTTCTTTTGTCAAAGAATCAAAGATGTACATAGTATCTTTTAGTTTCTTTGAAATAAATCCACATCTCCTTTACTTTATACCGAATACAAAATTATATTATTAAAAACAATTTGCTATAGTAAAATTACTGCAAAACATCACAATTTGTTGCAACATAGTCTTGTGCATGGACCACGAGGAGCTTTTCTACATATTTTTAGGGAGTGATCTATGAATTTGCTCCCTCTCCTTTGCTTGAAAAACACTCACACTTACCGGTAGCCACGTAATATTAACTGCAAGCCAAAATGTCAGAAAAAGTTATTTATAGAAATGGGCATGTGACTGAAATATCTAGCATTTTCTGCATGCATGTTTATTGAAATATAGGAAACTTTTCTTTAAAGCAGATCTGCTTTAACATTTAAATATTTCTTCTTTTCTTAAAGTTTATCTTGGTAACGATTTATTACACACTGATAATAAAACTATTTTATAGGAATTAATGGTTTGTGTACAAATAATTAATGAGATACAAACACAAACAATTTACTTTGATGACAAATTGAAACTTAAATTTAAGCGACGACATTACTCTCATTGAATGGAAGTTAACTACATGATTTTAACTTTGAGGCACACAAGATTGAATTTGCCTTTAATAAATTAGGCATCAAACAAAAAAAGCACGAACACATTAATTTCTTTTTAAGCTACTGACGCGAAGAGAACGAAAGAAGAAGTTAATTCTCCCAATTAAAATAATCTTACCTGTTTTGTAGCTGCATGAATTATATAAGTTTCAGAATAAATGCTCGTTAAAGGCTATATTTTTAATGCAGTTTATCAGTGCATGATTGCACTCAATAAACAACAAAATAGCATATCGTTTAACTTCTTTTACTGTTTTCATCAGATAAATTTAAATGCACATCGTAGAAAATACTTTGAACTGTTGAGCTACAATATTAAAAACTGGCTGATATGTCATTAAATTTGAAATTTATCGTTTCCATGCCATCAAGTTAAAGCTTTAACACATTATTAACTAAAACACTTACTGCCACAAAGTGATTCTTGCTTTGATGTGTAGACTTTCAGAAAAAGAATGAAGGCAATGAGCAAAAGCTTAATTGAGCGATAACTCATTTTTGACGTCCGGGCGGGTTGCGTCTAGCTCTTAGCATTAAAGGAATGTTGTATCTGACAGTAACAGACAAGTTCGGTGTCGTTATCTTAGAATCAAACAAAGACTTTCTTAGACGAATTTGTTGTTGTTTTTCAGAATCAAACAAAGACTTTCTTTATATTTTCTTAATTCCATGCATTAACTGAATACCTCGCACAAAATTAATTTGCTGTTTTGATTGAATCTATTACGTATTGGGGTTGTTATAATACATAATATTATGGTTTACATTGGTATGTTGTGCATTGGACATAATAGGAAGATTTTTCAAGTAAATTGTAATATCGACATCATTCTAACCTGAAGATTTTATCATAAATTGTTCACTTTGTCAAATTCATTGAAGGTATATAATTGATAGTTAATTTTATTCATATGACATGAAAAGTTACCAAGACAAAAAAGTAACAGGTGTCACAGCTTACAGAACACTATGTCGTTATAATATTTTTGTTACTACTAGCTATAAAAACTACTAGCTATAAAAACGTTGAAGACACGATGAGCAATGATGTTTTCCTTGCCTTCACTGAAATTTTTTATTACTACGCTATGATATATACGAGTTATACCTTTGCAAAACTATCCTCTTGCTTTGTTTTATTGCTGTTTTCCACGATTTGTAAACAACAAAAACAATAAAGCAAACAAACGATAAACGAAAGCCATGATAACAATCATTCCCAAACAGAAAGAATAGTTTCCATCTAAACTGTAATGATCTTGAAAAGCGATGCCGTCACGTTTTGGACGATCAACTTCAGGATAACGTAATGCTTCCTTTTCAAACAGGGCTTCGACAAACCAACGGATAAATGAAAGGTTGTAAGCAAGTGGTCCAAAAAATGTTAATTTGTCTAGCTTGCATAGAGTAGGAGAAAAACCTGGAAAATATAAATGAAAGCCAAATTACATAAGAAATAAATTGTTCATATATTTATTAATATTTCTGAAAAAAATTGTGACTACATCTGTTGACTGAGATAGTGGTCAGAATAAGTTTTTGAGTCGCATTATTTTATCTAACTGTCGAAAAAATTGCGTCGTATGTCAAATTTGCTTTGCAAGTTGAAAGCAACGATAATTTATCGTAAAAATCGAAAAATTTTTGCATAGAAAGATTTTGGCTGATTATCATAACGTACGTCTAACAACAATCATAAAACTGGTCTTGACCTTTGTATTACCTGTATTATATGAATATTCAGGAGAAAATATTTAATCAAACTTACCAGACAACATAGCCATAACTAATACTACAACGACAGATGCCATTTGGGAACTCTTAGGATTAAATATTGTGGATATTGCATAACCAATTCCGGAGCAGCAAAACTGAGCACAAAATACAGCTATGTAATGCGCCGCAAGATAGGCTGAAAATGTGAGAAAGGTTTAGTTGACAGAAACATGTTATCATCGTAAGAGGTTATTTTGATGATTTTTGTAATTGAAGTTTCTTCACTTTTTACTTACATCTAGGTGAGGTAAGAGTGTATAGAAAGCTCAGGTAGACCAATGGCATAATCAATAAGATGGGAATTTGGGAAAAGTTTACAGCAAGGAAATAGCTAAAACGGTTAACACCAGAAGCACTTTCTCTGAAGATAAAATACAAATCAAAGACATTAACGTTAAAATTTCCTATAAATTTAGAAAAATCAATAAATTTAAGATCAGTAATCTTTTCATAGCTACCTCCAAAATGTAGTTCGGTGATTTCCAAAACATCTCAGAGATGCTAACATTGTCGTCAAACCAATAGCCATTCCACTCATTCTTGTCAAACCAGTAAACTTTTCTAAAGTTACCTTTATTGAATGTTCAAAAATAAAACTTGATGGTTAAATAAAAATTATATAATAAAACTTAATTTCGCAATATTAGCTATGTGTTGATTTAAAAATAATTTTGCTTGATGGTCTTCAATTTAGAAAAATTTTACCTCAAGATAAAGAGCTCCAAGAACAGCCCCAGCAAAGAAAACAAGAAATGTATCAATTAACAAAGTTTTTCTTGATCGATATTGAAGAATAAATTCTCTTTGAGTGAATATGAGAAGCTGAATAAACGGATTAGGAAGAACACGTTTTTTTACTGAAATAAAAAAAGCAAAGATCAAAGATTTATGAACAGCAAAGATCAAATTAGGGAAAATCTGATCAAAAATATTTGTGCTTTACTTTTATTATTACTCTTTACCTTTAGGTTTGGGTTGTTCTTCGTCATGACTGGAGATCATAGTACTTTGTGAGTGGTCATTCCAGGCATTAAATAGATCAATTTCTCCATTTTTAGATGACTCAACTGAGCCACCAATCACATCCATATAAAAGTCAGCCGGATTAACATTTGCAGGTGTTTTAAATCCGAGGTTTGAAAAGTATTCCTCTGCGTTAGGTACGTTGCCTTGATAAACTGTTTTACCGCCAGGACCAAGAAGCAAAATGTTGTGAAACATTCCTGAAAATTGATAAATGCAGATTAACAATCACATGAAAAAAGTTGTATTTTTTAACTGCGCTGTACATAGTTTTATTGTATGACTGGCACACACAGGCTTAGAATGATCAAATGAGACTATTTCATGAATTAGAAAGTACTGCATTGGGAACTTGTCAAGATTGCTTTTTTGTGTTGAACATGAATGCATACTTCAACATTTTATTATATTTGGTTTTAAAACGAAAATTTAAAATTGTGGCCCTGTCTTCCGTGTCTGGGCATGTCAACAACATAAACAATATGATCATATAGCCGTAGCTAACAAAACCATTTAAATACTTACGAAATATTTCAAAACGAGGTTGATGTATGACGCACAACACCGTCAATTTTCCTTGCTCAGCTACTTTTCGTAGTGATCTCAACACAGACAAACTTGATGTACTGTCTAAACCACTGAAGTAATGGAATAAAAATAAAAATTCGTATGATAGAATCAAATCCTTTTTAATAAACTATTCAATGCTTTTTTTGAGAGGTCACAATAAACTTTTAATGTTTATATGTACCTGGTAGGTTCATCCAAAAAAAGCAAAGTTGGATCAGCAATCAATTCCATTCCAATGTTTACTCTTTTTCGTTGTCCTCCAGAAATTCCTCTTGTTTCCTCAATTTATTAGTATATGTATTTTTATAAATCCTCTCTACTGGCAGAGAGAGAGACTTACTTTTTAAGGCTTACCTCATCCCCGATAAGCGAGTCAGCAACGTGAGAAATTTCAAGTATGTTCAGTGTCTACAAAATTTCAGAGAGAAGTAAAATGACAGGTCATAAAAGCGGGAACGCTATTACTTTAATTGAATGCTCAAAGCAGAACAATGAAATTTTATAACTGATGTAGATTTGTCATTTTGGTGTTCATCGGTGAAGAAATGAAAAGAATAATTTTCTTTTATAGTTAATAAATGTACCTCCTTTATTTTCAACTCGATGGTTGCTTTTTTAGTTTCAGATGGTAAACGTAACATTGCTTGGTAATATAAAACTTCATAAACCGTGAGATTCCTATGCATCGTATCTTCCTGTTAAAAATACATCAATGTTGTCATTTCAATGTTGAAAGTGCAAAGATGTGCAGCATTAAACTCTTGCAAACTTATAACTCTGCTACTTTCCAGGTTAACTCTTGAAGGCCTTATACTGCTGTGCTCTTTCCTCTACCTTCCTCTCCCCATACTTTGGTTCTCCTACAACTGTTTCAAATGTGTTGAACCCCAACAAACAACACACTGATAAGAAACAAGAACTATTCATCTGGACAGTAAATCAAGAAATTAAAAACAAAATAACCTGAGGCACAAATCCTGTTATAGATCTAAATTCTTTTATTCCTGTTACAGCTTCACCGTTGAATAATATTTTTCCAGTTCTTATCTAGAACACAAATCAAAATAATACAGTTAATTCTATTGAAATATTTCAGTTTTTAGTTTTCAATGCATCAAAATGAATATCATAATTTGAAAAATTAAATATTTCATCATACCCCGTAATAAGCTTTACCACTCAGCGTGTTGAGGAAAGTCGTTTTACCGGCTCCTGATGGTCCCATTACAGCAGTTACCTCTCCTGAGCGTACATGACCTGTGACTCCTTGTAATACAACCTTTCTGCTTCCCTAAAAAAAAAAAAAATATGAAAAATCCTAATCTAGGAAAAACTTTGGAAATTGTGGGATGTCAGAAATTATCCCTTTAGCATGTTTACTTTTTTGGTTTGTGGATGAGATTGAGCTATTGTGTCTACGATTTGAAAACATGACTTTCACTAAGAGAAAGATAATACGTAACTATCACGATAAAAAAAGCTCTATGTACGATTTCAAAGGACAGTATTTCAAATTAAGACCGAGAACTCTAACTTAGAATTGCGTACATATTATATTTTTTAAATATAAAATAACAACAAGACAGCGCGTACACTAATTGGTTTATTGCTGAGTTTGCATTTTAGTTAGCATTGGCCGGTGTCCGGCCCTGCATGTGCAAACCGACCTATGGCACTGATCTAGCTTTGTCAATTAAATAAAATAATTTGCAGAATTTCCAAAACACTCATCTATACAAAAACACTTACAGACTTTAACGTCAGACCCAAGTTTTCAAAGCTTATGTCAATGGTGTATTTCTCAGTTTCATGAAAGCGGTTTTCATCTTCCTTTACAATGTTTTGCATTCTGCCAAAGTCAACGCTGACAAACTCTTTTGACAAAAAACTTTCTCCATTTCGAAGTCGATTGTAATAGAGCTTGACTTTATTCCATTTATTATACAACACCAGTAGAGTTGTTAAGATTAGGACAATAAAAAGAATTACTAATGGAGAAATGAAGTTGATGATCGGTGCAGAGCTTTTCTTTTTACAACTTGTAAGCCACTGTAAAAAATATTAGGAAAAAAATAGTAATGTTAAAATGTTTATCCTTGATTTGCCGTTTAACATCATCCGCCACTTTCGGATACGTTGAGGTACAATAGGATGTATATGAGTACATTTATAGTCTCGAGTGTTTAAAATATAGCACGCCCTAAGACTTAGACGAACTTCAGTGTCCTAGGCTACAAATTATAAAATTTGAATTGCAAAAATATGAGAAAATTAATATCCTCATTCTCTCAACATCTCAGGCATTATTACAAATTAATAAAAATTATACTTGCCGGGCAAGGATCAGGCGCAGTACTACCTGGACGACAGTAGTACCCAGGCTCACATGGTTTTTTATCATTCGGTGTAGGACAATAGTAGCCTTCAGGACAAGGTTTAGGTTCGTCAGTACCGCCACATAAACAATTTTTATCTTCAACGTCGTTACATTTTCTTACAGAAGTGTTCAGTATTAGTGGAGGTTCATTTTTACCACAGCACACGCCAAAACCACCACATTGAATTTTATTCTGTGGACGTAAGGAGAAAAATAAAACATCGTTAATTGACACTACTATAAACATTTTCATAAATTTACAAAGATCAAACATGAACAAGTCCAAACAAAAACATAAGATTTGATCATTTTGTCTATGGATGGTTTTTTCCCAGGCAGTGTCAGTCCACTTCCAAGGCAGTTCAATCAAGGCCAGTGCCATATTAACCAATGGGTGCAGTGGGTCCATGCGCAGGCACCCAAAAGTTAAATCTATGCTATCATATAACAGTAAAAATAATTTCGGACTAAATAATCAGCTCTATTTATCATTTTAAATGAAGCGTGACATCTATATAACTTTTATAAATAAACTTAAGCTGATCTAAAGTAACAACGATGGACTTGAACTATACGATACGGATACCTACCCCTTCAAGCTTCTTTTTCTTTGGTACACAGTAAGCTCCTGATGGACAGGGTATAAGACAGTATTGTTTAGGTGGACAGAAGAATCCTAAATTTTCAAATGAATTTTCTTCACAAAATAAGTTTTGTCAAACAATTTGTTTATAATTTAGTTATATTTTTAAGGATGAGTGAAAAGTATAATTAGGATTCAGATACAATTTTTGCGGAAGCCATATTCCTCAACTGGCTGATGGAGTTTTCAGAAATGTTTACCAACCTGAAGGACAAGGTTTGGGTTGAGGATTTGGTTCACTTAGATTCAAGTAAAATCCACCTGCACAAGCTTGAGTACGCCAACTATGAACACAATCTTTTTTAGGATCAAACTGAGCACGATACGAAACGGATGTATTTAGCTGATTATCAATGATTTTAGTGTTATTGAAGCTCATGGGTTTTTTTGATTTCACACAAAATTGTATTACTTCATTTTCACCAGCAAATGGACAACATTGATGTGTATATTCCGGAGGACAACAACCACCAGGGGGAGATCGAGGCTTTCCTACATAACAATATGCATCATCTACAGTTTCATCGTCAATGTACATCACATACAGTACAAATCAATCTCAACGGTAAATAACAGTAAATTTTAAGTAAAAAATTGACTTTTTCAAACATTTTCCAGAGCTGTCGTACGTTTTTAGTTGTACTCTTGTAACGAATACAAAGTGTAAACCACAGAAACAAGTTCAACAAAAATTAGTTACTTTAATTAATTAGATACTCCATTTGTACGAGGCATATGCTGTGATTACATTTCTCAACACTATAAAAGGGGATGTGAATGAAAGCAAAAGAAGTTTTTACAATCGGACCACAGTGCTTGTTGTATTTGCTCAGCACGTTACTCACCAATAAAATTTGTCTTGTCGAAGTTTCTAAAACGTCTTTATGATGTATAACAGTCTTTTTATTGATTTCTAGTTATCTTTTCTTTTGTGATACGAAAGGTGTTGCCTGTATTGTGTGGTGTGCCCCAGCTAGACTTCGCCCTTAGCTAATCAATAGGCTATATTTTAGTTATGGAGTCAAGTTTTTTTGAGTACCTAATATTGGTGTATTGACTGCAGAAAACCAAAAATAATACTATTGTGTAATATTGCAAGGTAGTACTATCAAAATCTGTTTTTTTATAAGATTTTATCAAAAAAATTCGCAAGTAATGTTTAAATTTCCCAAAAGACGATTCTCTTCAAAACACTTTCTTGTCCGACACCGTTTGACAAGTTAATATTTTTGCCTGACAACGCTGCTAACTTTCAATTTTTTTGAGTGCGAGTCCCACCCAATCCTCTCTCTTCCTTAGGAGAGGCTGCACAAAGCCCCCTCTCCTCCTTAAAAAGACACTTCCCCAACCCCCTCTCCTCCTTAGGACACACACCCCTCAACCTCCTTAGGACATACTTCCCCAACTCCCTTTCCTCCTTAGGACATACTTCCCCAACTCCCTCTCTTCCTTAGGACATACTTCCCCAACCCCCTCTCCTCCTTAGGACATGCTTCCCCTGTTAGAGATACATAAGAATGAAGGAGCTTTAATTCCTGGAATTTGATCGTTCAAATTAAGATAATTACCATACAACAGAAAACCTAATTATGAAACGTAAATTGACAGACTGAATGGTCGAACTGATATCGTTTAAATACTTATTCTTTACCAAATCATTTCACATGCGTAAAACCGGTCATCATCATCATCATATCTTTTCGCGTTTTTGTTACGCGTGTTGTAGCAATCAGTCGAAATCAGGGACGGCATGTGAAGCCTTGCTACTTGTCCCCCACCAAATTTCCCTCACATGGCTTTGGTTAACCCGGGCTAGGTTTACAGACACATTGCCAAATGTGCCACGAGCCGGGATTGAACCCCCGCTGTCTGACTTACAGCTCACGCAATTAACAATTCAGCCACCTGCCCCACTTTTCGTTAAAGTGCAGCAGTTTCGCATCTAATTAGTGCAAGGAAAAATAGATTATTCTAGTTGTGAAATTTGACCTCTCTGTGGTTTATACATAACAACGTAGAAAATAAACATGTAAAACTTTTTGAACGGAATCAACAGATTTAGGATGGTGGGTAACTATCATGCGAAAACAAGCATTAAATGACCATATTAGCAAACTCGAGAGTTATATGAATTATGAAGTCTGATTAGTAATTACAAGCACCTCATAAGCTGTTAATCGACGCATTTATAGTGAGAAACAAAGGAGTACTTTGTTAAAACTATCTCACTGTTTCCATCTGATATATTTAAGCGATGAACCAAATGCTACAGGTAGACTAAAAATGTCCATAAGCTTTTGAGGCATTATATTACATAAAAATGCGCGGGAAATGGGTGTGACAAATAAAATGTCGTTTCCTCGCTACATAAAGGATCGACTTAAATACTTACTGTCACAAAGTGATTCTTGCTTCGATGAGAAGATTTTCAGAAAAAGGATGAGTGCAATGAGCGAAAGCTTTGAATGACTCATTCTTCAATCACTCAATTTTGACTACTGCAGCTTGCGTCTTACTGTAGAATGTCAATAATGTTGACATGCAGACTGGCGAAAGATAATCTCCGTATCGATTTCTCAGAATCAAACTTGAAAAAGTATATCCTTAACACATCCGTTTGAATTTCTTTGAATTTGTCACCTCCTCTTACTTTATACCGAATACAAAATTATATTATTAAAAAACAATTTGCTATAGTAAAATTACTGCAAAAACATCACAATTTGTTGCAACATAGTCTTGTGCATGGACCACGAGGAGCTTTTCTACATATTTTTAGGGGGGGAGTGATCTATGAATTTGCTCCCCTCTCCTTTGCTTGAAAAACACTCACACTTACCGGTAGCCACGTAATATTAACTGCAAGCCAAAATGTCAGAAAAAGTTATTTATAGAAATGGGCATGTGACTGAAATATCTAGCATTTTCTGCATGCATGTTTATTGAAATATAGGAAACTTTTCTTTAAAGCAGATCTGCTTTAACATTTAAATATTTCTTCTTTTCTTAAAATATATCTTGGTAACGATTTATTACACACTGATAATAAAACTATTTTATAGGAATTAATGGTTTGTGTACAAATAATTAATGAGATGCAAACACGAACAATTTACTTTGATGACGAATTGAAACTTAAATTTAAGCGACGACATCACTCTCTTTCAGTGGAAGTTAACCACTTGATTTTAACTTTGAGGCACACAAGACTAAATTCGCATTTAATAAATTAGGCATTAAACAAAAAAAGCACAAACACATTAATTTCTTTTTAAGCTACTGACGCGAATAGAACGAAAGAAGAAGTTTATTCTCTCAATTAAAATAATCCTACCTGTTTTGCAGCTGCATGAATTATAGAGTTTCAGAATAAACGCTCGTTAAAGGCTATATTTTTAATGCAGTTAATCAGTACATGATTGCACTCAACAAACAACAAAATAGCATATCGTTTAACTTCTTTTACTGTTTTCATTAGATAAATTCAAATGCACATCGTAGAAAATACTTTGAACAGCTGAGCTACAATATTAAAAACTGGCTGAAATGTCATTAAATTTGAAATTTATCGTTTCCATGCCATGGAGTTAAAGCTTTAACACATTATTAACTAAAACACTTACTGCCACAAAGTGATTCTTGCATTGATGTGTAGACTGTCAGAAAAAGAATGAAGGCAAAGAGCAAAAGCTTAATTGAGTGATAACTCATTTTTGACGTCCGGGCGGGTTGCGTCTAGCTCTTAGCATGAAAGAAATGTTGTATCTTGTAGTATAGTTATTATGCAAATTATTAGTATTTCGTACGTCATACAACCTATATTACATTTAAGTAATGATCTATATATAAGTAACATGACTAAGCAACAAAAGGGGAGAAATCTCACAATATTACATCTGGCGACAAAGATTACGAAGGGACGAAGAAATACGATTTGATCCTGAGAAAGATACAACATTTCCAACATGACAGCTTTGCCTAGCTTCCCGACGTTCAACCTAGAAGAACCAGACCTTAGAAAAGCTTGGGGAAAATACGTATCAAGATTGGAGAATTTGTTGTTGGCAATGAACATCACAAACGCCGCAAGAAAGATGGCGATGCTCCTGCACTATGTCGGTGAAGACGTTAATGAGATATTCGAAACTTTAGAAATTGACGAGCCAGATAGAGAAGAAGATGCTTTTAGAAAAGCGGAGAAAGCGTTACGAAATTACTTCACTCCACAGAAGAATATAGAATTCGAAGTTTATAAGTTTCGTCAAGCGAAACAACTCCCAGGAGAAAACATATCCGCGTACTATACGAGATTGAAAAATTTTGGCCAAATCCTGCGAATTTCATGAAGAAAGCAGAGAGATAAAAACTCAGATCATACAAAATGGTTCATCTTCAAAATTGCGGAGAAAAGCGTTAGCAGACCCCGAAATAACGATGGAGAAATTAATACAAATGGGAAAAACAATGGAGATGTCAAAAACACAAGCAGAAGGCATTGAAAGCACGAATCGAATTTGGCATAAAAGAAAGCAGTTCAAGAGGCCCACGGAAAAAACCTCAAATGCTTCCGAATATTCATCGAAGATCAAATGCAAATTTTGTGCGCGTGAACATCGTCCAGGGAAAACAAATTGCCCGGCATATGGAAAGAAATGTCGACAGTGTTTAAAGTGGAACCATTTTCAAGTTTGCTGCTATGAGAATCGAAGAGGCAAAGATCGGATGCAAGACAATTATCCAAGTTCTCGCGCTGAATCAACAAAGCGAAACGGACAGATAAAACGTAAGGAGACATTTTTTGTTGGAGACATTTTTTGTTGTTAATGGGAATACGGGTTGCTTGATAAGCAGGAAAAGTTCTCAAAAATTGGGCCTGGTACAAATAGTTGCATCCATAGTAGGCACTACAAAGTCTAAACAGGAACCCGTTAAAGAAAAGGCGCAAAAAAAAGTGAGAGAAGATACCAAAGTGGAAGAGCTAATTAACAAATATCAAGAAGTCTTTCAAGGACTGGGAAAATTGAAAGGGTTTCAAGTTCATCTACACGTAAATAAGGACGTACAACCTATCGCACAACCTCATCGTCGGGTGCCGTTTCATGAGAAAAGACTTGGAGAAACAGTTAAAACGAGACGAAGAACGCGGAGTCATAGAGAAAACGGATGGACCAACACCTTGGGTTTCACCAGTCGTGGTCGTACCAAAACAAAAAGGGGAGGTCCGAGTTTGTATAGATATGCGACAAGTAAACAAAGCAATAAAGAGAGAACGACACTTGACTCCGACGATTGGTGAAATTATAAGTGATCTAAATGGTGCTGTATGGTTTAGCAAATTGGACTTAAATCAAGGCTATAACCAGTTAGAGCTTGATGCAGAATCAAGATATTTGACAACCTTCTCAACACACATTGGTCTACGGAGATTTCGACGTTTGAATTTTGGAATAAACTGTGCTGCAGAGATATTCCAAAATGCCATTAGAGAAACGTTGAATGGACTGAGAGGCGTGATTAATATCAGTGATGACATTATGGTTTTTGGCGTAGACGAGAAAGATCACGATGCAAATTTGAACGCGGTATTACAACGAATTAAAGATCGAGGACTAACTCTTAAGAAGGAGAAATGTCTGTTTAAGAAAAGAAGTTTAATATTCCAAGGGTATGTGTTCTCAGAGAATGGTATTGTGCCGGATCCCAATAAAGTGAGAGCAATTAAGGAATGCACAAATCCTAAAGATCTCGGAGAAGTACGAAGTTTGTTAGGCATGACCAATTTTTGCTGTCGATTTATTCCACATTATGCCACAATTACGGAGCCGTTACGTCGACTTATCAAGAAAGATGCCCCATTCGTGTGGACAAGAGAACAAGACGACACAATGAAAGCCCTACGGAAAGCATTAACAGATGGGCCAGAAAGTGCGTATTTCGATCCGGATAGTGATACGGAGGTTTTCACAGAGGCTAGTCTAGTTGGTATTGCAGCAGTCTTGGCGCAGAGGAAAAAGGGAGAAGAAAAAAGGAAAATAATTGCTTACGCTAGTAAATCACTAACTACCACAGAGAAAAATTATTCCCACTTGGAAAGAGAAGCTTTAGCTATAGTATGGGCCTGCGAACATTTTCATTTATATTTGTTTGGAGGAAAATTCACCATCGTCACTGATCACAAGCCGCTGGTGAAAATATACACAAATCCATCATCAAAGCCATCTGCGAGATTAGAACGATGGGCTTTACGATTGCAACCATATGATTTTGAAATCTGTTTTCAACCTGGAACTCAAAATCCTGCAGATTTTCTCTCACGTCATCCCTTATCTGATGAGAAACTAAACAACCGGCAAGAGAAAGTAGCAGAAGAATTTGTTAATTACGTTACACAGAACTCGGTTCCAAGAACAATCAGCAGGAAAGATCTGGAAGAAGCTACAAGAGAAGACATTACTCTTCGAGCAGTAATTCAAGCCATTGAAACAGGTAGATGGTTTGAGAGTTCAAAGATGGTAGGAGTAAATCAAGCAGAATTTAGTTCATATGAGAAAACTAAAAATGAACTTTGCATATCTTCGGGTATAATTCTACGAAAACATCAAATAATCATACCAGAAAGTTTACGAGAGAAAGTAGTGAACATTGCTCATGAAGGTCATATGGGAATGTCAAAAACGAAAGCGTTATTACGTGAAAAGGTATGGTTTCCACGTATAGATGAGTTACTTAATGAAAAAGTTAAATCGTGTTTAGCCTGTCAGATTATAACTCCAGCAGTGAAAAGGAACCATTGAAAATGTCAGAGTTGCCGAGATCTCCTTGGAAAGAGCTAAGTATGGACTTTGGTGTAGCTCCTACAGGCACAGGTGAATATTTGTTTGTTTTGTATGATGATTTTTCCAGATATCCCATTGTAGAGATAATCCAATCAACGTCCGCAAAGACTGTTATATCCTATTTGGATAAGATACTTTCGGAGTTCGGGATACTAGATACGATACGTTCAGACAATGGACCGCCATTCAATAGCAAGGAATTTTACGAGTTTTTAAAGTATTTGGGATTCAAACACAGAAAAGTTACTCCTTATTGGCCACGCGCCAACGGGGAAGTGGAAAGATTTATGCGTACTATCAAAAAGGCAATAAAGGCTGCGATAATGGAGGAAAAAAATTGGAAGCAAGAAATCCACAGGTTCCTGCGAAATTATCGTGAAACACCTCATAGTTCGACCAAAATCTCTCCATCTATGGCTTTATTCGGTCGACCAATGAAAGTACGTTTACCTGAAGAACCATTTTATGTAGATACAGAGGAAAGAATTCGAGTACAGGATGAAAGAGCAAAATTGAAGATGAAATTACATGCAGACAATAACAGGAACGTAAAGACAAGTGAGATTAAAGTAGGTGATATGGTGTTAGTAAAGAAAGATACGACCACTAATAAACAACAAACACCCTATGATGGTAAGCCATGTGAAGTCGTGGAAAGAAAAGGTTCAATGGTAACAGCGAAGAAAGACAGAATGTTGCTTACTCGTAATTCGTCATTTTTCAAGAAGATAGAAAATGGGAAAAGTCTAGGAGAACCCATTGAGGAAAGTATAAAGGAAAAAGAACGGCGGTATCCTTTGCGTACAAGAAAAGCCTCTATTCGATACGGACAAGTTAAAAGTTAATTTAGAGATTATTTAAAGCAAAAAAAAGAAACA